GGGGATCGGGAAAGGCTTCTTATAGAAAGTAAGATTGTAGACAAAGTATCCATCTTTTCCTACCTAGCAAAGCTACATGCAACCTGAGGAGCGTGGACTACATCTCACATTTCATCCATCCCCTCTATGTAGTCTAGAACATATATATACTAGGCATGTACTGATTACTTCTAAAGGGAGGGTTTGACCGTGTCATTTCCCCAGTTAAGATGCTTTCCACTACTGCCCTTTATAATCAACTATAGACTCCTCTGTTTGACCTTTGAAGCCCTTCACATGGACAGCTAGGTTTCTTGTGGGCAGGGATTGTGTCTTTCCTTTGTATCTCTCTGATTCCTGAGTAACAGCATGAGGCACCTGGTAAATGCTGGTTAGGGTGCCTTGGATTCAGAATGTGCACCCACAGCCAAAGCAGAGAGAAGATAGTGCAGCAGCAGAAAGACAGACAAAACTGAAATAAGAGGGAGAAGGAAGATGGGCTGGGGGTCCCAGGGACCTGAGCTAACTCTGCCAGCAAATATCTTCATGACCTGGGGAAAGGCTCAGTTTATCTGTGAAAGGAGGGTGCTGAAATGCTAGGTATGACGCTGAGGAGGTTGGTGACAAAAACAAAGTTTCCACATCCACCAAAATGTTATCGCAGCAGTTTCTATAGTAACAAAGAAGTGGGAATGAAGCAGATGCCCATCCATTGGGGAATGGCTAATCAAACTGTGGTGTGTGAACGTGATGGAATATTACCGCACTGTGAGAGCTAATGATGATGACGGGTACTGAGAAATGGGAAGACTGCAAGGGGTGGTAAGCAAAACCAGGAAAACAGCATACACAACGACTAGCACAGTGTAACTGGAAGAACCGCAATGACAAAATAATTGAAAATGACCACTGTTAAATTATAATGACTAAGTTAGGCCCTGAAGAAGACAGATAAGAATGAGCCTGCCTATTCAGATGAGCAGGACAGCTTTGCAGCTAACATATAGAATGTTTTTTTGTTGTTCAGTCGTTTTCAATGGTGTCTGACTCTTGGTGACCCCATTTGGGGTTTTCTTGGCAAAGATACTTGAGTGGTTTTGTCATTTCCTTCTCCGGCTCATTTTATAGAGGAGGAAACAAAGGCAAATAGGGTGAAGTGATTTGCCCAGGGTCACTCAGCTAATGTTTGAGGCCAGATTTGAACTCAGAAAGAGGAGTCTTCCTGACTCCAGGCCCAGCACTCTGTCCACTGCACCACCTAGCTGCCCAGGAGAATATATTTTATCTTTTCAAAAAATGAAAAATACACATGACAGAGATTTGTGCTATCATGGACAATCCTATTTTTATGTTCTTTCATGTATATGGAAAAGCTATATGTGATTAAAAAAAAATTCCCTCTTTGTAGGAGCAGGGGAAAATAAATGTAGAATCTTGCTTTTGATATATTGGTTACTTTTTCTGAACTTTTTTTCCTCTTTTTGAAAGCTCTTTGTGGGAGCAGCTAGGTGGCACAGTGGATAGAGCACCGGCTCTGGAGTCAAGAGGACCCAAGTTCAAATCTGGCCTCAGATACATAACACTTACTAGCTGTGTGACTCTGGGCAAGTCACTTAACCCCAATAAGAAAGAAAGAAAGAAAGAAAGAAAGAAAGAAAGAAAGAAAGAAAGAAAGAAAGAAAGAAAGAAAGAAAGAAAGAAAGAAGAAAGAAAGAGAAGAGAGAGAGAGAGAGAGAGAGAGAGAGAGAGAGAGAAAGAGAGAAAGAGAGAAAGAAAGAAAGAGAAAGAAAGAAAGAAAGCTCTTTGTTATAAGTAATTGCTCTATGATATATTGGGAAAAGTAGATGATGTAAAAACAAAAGATAGCACTATATATGTATGTGTATATATACATTTATACACAGACAGACAGACATGCATATAAATACATATTGGACTACTACGTGGTCTTGAAGGGCTCTTCTGATTACACACGTCTAATTCCATCAGACTTCTGAGGTACTTTTGATGCAGCCTTTACCTGGAGGGGAGGGCAGCTAACACTGGTCTGTGGCTCAGCAACCAGCTAGCTGCGTGAACTTGAGCAAGTCCCTTAGCTCAGCTTTGTAAAACAAGGTGCTCTCTAAGATCTCTCCCTGCCAGCTCTAAATCCTGTGAGCCGGTGAGGAACCCATCACGCTTGACTAATTGGCTCCCCAGTGAAACGCAGCTTCCTCTAGGGCAGGACCAGGCTTTTGTTCAACAACACACGACACCTCCCAGAGTTACTGAACAGGTATAGAAGTGAAGACAATATGTTTAGATCTAACCCAAATTGTGGCAGCAGATTTTTTTTGTGAGGAAGAGGCACAGGGGCAGAAAACCGAATTCCAGGACAGGAGGCAGTCACAGGATCATCAAATTAAAGCTGGCGGTGGGAGTGGGGGTATTAAATATAATCTAGTCCATCACCACTCCATTTTCCAGAAGAAGAAACTGAGGACCAGAGAAGTTAAGAGATTTGCCCAAAGGTCATCCAGTGAAGTGGAAGAAGGAGCCTGTAAGCCAGGACTCCTTCCTCTAGACCACACACCTTCCTAGGAGAAAGCTGAAAAGCTGCACCACCACCTCCAAGCTTCTCCAGAAGCCTCATAAAATCAGAGAATGCTGGAGTTAGAGGGGCCTTGGAGGGTATCTAGTCCAAAGGACCTTAACCTGAGGTTCACGGACTCCCAAGGGGTCTGTGGATAGATTTCAAGGGGTCCATGAACTTGGATGGGGAAAAAGTGGCATCTTTATTTTTTATTAACTTTTGGTTTCCCTTGTAATCCTCTTATTTTATACATTTGAAAAGATTATTGAGGAGGGGTCCAGAGGCTTTATTCAACTGCCAAAGGGATCCAGGACACAAAAAAAGGTGAAGAAACCCTACTCTGGTCCAATGCTCTCATTTAAAAAAATGTTGCTACATCACCTAGATTTCCCAATACATCTTTCCCTACCCCAAACCCTAGAGAGGCATCCCTTATAACAAAGAATAAAAAAAGGGAAAGAAAATAGTTTAGTAAAACTAACCAACACATCATCTGACTCTAACATTATATGCAGCATTACTGTTAGCAAAAGTAATTGTAATAACTTAGATTTATATGAAGCTTTATAGTGTATAAAGCATTTCACATCCATGATCTCATTTGATGCTTACAGCTATCCTGGGAGGTAGATGAGGCTGGGATTATGGTCCCCACTGTACTGATGAGGAAACAGAGAGATGAATATGGTCACAGAGTGGGTACAGACATACATACATACATGGACGTACAAACGTACATACTAAGTAACACTAGCAGGCCTGAGTTCCAGGCAATAGAGGAAAAAAGCAGAAAAAAAAGAAAATGAATAAGAAAGTAGCAAAAGGAGGAGACAAAAGAAAAGGCAGGGGGAGGAGAAGGGGGGTTAGAATCATCTTTGTTTCCTTTAAAATTGTTCAAACACCACAGGAAGTTTTTCCTGACTTCTACAGATGCTAGGCTCCTCCCTTCTCTTGTGACATCATCCTGACCCTCATATTTACCTTGGATTTATTTCATATGCATCTTGAGGAAGCTAAATGGTATTACAGATACAGCACTCTGACCTGGAGTCTGAAAGACTTGAGTTCAAATCTTGCCTCTGATACTTTCTAGATGTGTGACCCTGGATAAGTCACTTAACCTTTGTTTGCTTCAATCTCCTCATCTGTAAAAAGGGGATAACAATAGCACCTGCCTTCCAGGGTTGTTGTGAGGATCAAATGAAATAATATTTTTAAAGCCCCTCGTAAACCTGAAAAGTGTTACTCAATGCTAGCTATTATTAATAGTAATTTTTATTAGTAATAATAATTAACAATAAAGTACATGTTTTCCCCCTCAGAGAGAATGCAAGATTCATGAGGACAGGGACTGTTTCAGTTTGGTCTTTGAACCCCCAGTGTCTGGCAAATTGTGGGACCTTCATAAATGTGGGCATTCAGCTCTCCCAACAAATGCCCCCACTCCTAAGCATCCCCTCATCTGTATGATAAAGGCATTAAAGTGGATGGCCTCCAAGGTCCCTCCGAGCTTTAAAAGCCTGTCACGATCCATGACTGATCCATCAACAGCCCCAAGGCCATAGGCTGTCTAGGTTGGCCTACACCTGCTCCATGAGCTATGGCTTGGGATCACGAGTCAGACTCAGTCCAGCAGTGCTCCCTGGACCCAAGCTACCAGACCTCACCGGCTTGTCGAGGTTATTGGAATCAGAAGGAGTCTTAAAACTCACCTAGTGCAATCTCCTTGTTTTCCAGGTGAGGAGAGGGAAGGTCGGCAGAGAAGTGCCTTGTCCCGGGTCGCTCAGCTTCCAGGAAGCAGAGAAAGGACCAGTTCCCAGGTCTCCAGAGTCCTAACCTTGTTCTCTTCCCTCTATGACACACATTCCTAACCTTTTTTGTGTCATGGACCCTTTCACAGCCCTAGGAAGCCTATGGATCCCTCCTCTGAATAATGGTTTACAATAGACAATATAAAATGCTTAGGATTATAAAGGATAGTTATAAAAATATATTTTGAAGAAAAAAAAACGAACAAGTTCACAGATCCTAGATTAGGTATACCCCTTACACCATGCTAAAAATAAAGGCCTTCTTAGAAACAATTGATCTGAGAATCAACCAGTATTTTCTGATTGGTAAGCAGAAAAAGTGGTTGTTTGAGATTTTCAGCTATTTTAAGGAACAGGGTAGTTAATGGATAAACAGTCAGCTTCCATGTCAGGAATTGGATTTAAATCTTGCCTTGACCACATACTGGCTAAGTGATCCTGGGTAAGTCACTTAATTCCTGAGGGCCCTAGACAAATCTCTAAGACAGTAAATTGCAAAGCAAGGGCTGATTGCATTGGTATAGAGGGAATCGTTTCCTACACCCATGAAGTCACATTTAGGGACCAAAATAAGCCACACCTCCAGGGAGCTTTGGGAGAAAGAGGAGCTGTCTCAGAGCTAGAGGGAGGTGTCTCACCTATGTTCTCAATCATGGCATCCAGAGCCATCACGGCAGCTCCGTAAATGGGAGAACTCTTGGAGTTGAGGTTATCTGAGACCGCAGTGACCACAGAGACCAGGACCGGATGTAAGTTATCTTTGAGGTGAGGGATCATTTCTGTGAAGATCTCTAGGGCACACTGGTTCACTTTTTTGTTGGGATCCTGGAGCCTTGGGATGAATGCATCGAAGATCTGAGAAGAGAGAAAGGAAAAACAAAGACTCTATGGAGGTCCCTGCTTGTCAAGCAGGGAGGATGAAGAAGAAAGAAGCCATAAGGTGGTCAGCCAAATGACCTGCGCATGCCACGTGAGGTGTAGCAAGCTCTAAACTCCAAGTTTGTTTTCAAGAGACACAAGACATTTATTTCCAAGGCAGAATGGCATGGTAGAAAGAAGGCTGGACTTGACTCAGAAGACCTGGGTTCAGATCTTGGCTCTATGCAACCTTGGACAAATCACCTAGCCTTTCTGAGCTTCAGTTTCCTTATATGTAAAATGAAGGGGCTGGACTCTCAAAAGTATCAAACCCAAACAGAAATCCCTACAGGCTGCATATTGACTTAGAAAAGCAGAACTTAGCATTATCTAAGTTTTACTGTACTATTTATTTTGATAAACATTTCCCAATTATATTTTAAAGTGGTTTTGGCCACACTCAGGCATTTTTTATGCCAGGAGTTCGACACCACTGAAGGAGATGGCCTCTAAGGCCCCTTTCCAGATCTATTATTTTAGGAGTAAATAATGCATGTTCCTGATCCACTCACCCACACAAATCAATGTTTATCACCTGCCACACACAGGATAGCACAACGCCAAGCACTGAAAAGAGCAAGATAACCAACTTCTCTCTTGTCTAAACACAGACACACACAACACTGAAACAGAAGGCTTGGGAGCGAGGATGTCTGGCTTTCAGGCAGTGGAGCAATGCGAAATACACCAGACTGAGAGGCAAAGGACTAGTGTTGAGTCCCAGCTTTGCAACTGTGTGACCCTGGACAAGTCATTTCACTCCCCTAAATCTTAGTTTCCTTGTCTGCAAAATGGGAATAAACCTGCCCTTCCTACCTCCCAGGTTTGTTGTAAGGCTCAAATTTTTTTTGAAAACATTGATGGGAAAGAGCTTTGGAGATATAGAGTACCATACAAATGTGAGCCATCACTGCCATCACTCCTGCTTCTACCTATATGGTCATGCCTGGGTTGATAAATCCTCTAAAACTTAAGCTCCTTTGTGTTCATGGTGGTTATATTAAAAATGACACAAAATGTACATCAATCTTGCGAAGCAGAGTGATAAAGGATCCGAGGGATGACCTAATTGTTATCTGTCCAGAACTTCCTAACAATGAGAAATGTCCAAAGTGAAATGCTAAGTCTTGGGCAATAGTGAACTCTCCATCCCTAGGGGTCTCTCAAGTAAAAGCTGCCTGACTCCTTGCCAGGGATGCTGTAAGAGAGGATTCTCTCTCAGACAAGGGTAGGATCTCTGAGATTTACCTTCCCACCCTCTGGTGCCATTGTGGCTCCTGGGACATCTCAAAGTAGAGGACGCACTAGTCAGGAGATCATGTCTAAAGTCACTTCAAAGCAACAGAGGCAGTCACAGAGCCAGGAAGGCCAAAGTGGGGCAGGGCAGCCTCTTTAAAGGCATTCGTTATTTAGTAAGTGTACTGACAGAACAAGCATGGCAACAGTGAAGACAACCAGCTGGCCTTCTCTGTACACCCTCCACGTCCCCTGGTACCCTCACCTGTGTCAGGTTGGTAGTGATGAAATGCTGGCTGTTCTTGCAGCGGACGAGGAGGAGTGTGATGCCTTCCATTCGGGCCCGGTACTCCTTGGACTGCAGCAGGGAGTTCAGCTCCTTCAGCTGCTCAGCCATTTCTGTGTGACGAGTGCTGGCTCGCTGGATCATCGCCGGTTCATTCTCTGAGCTGCACCTACAGGGTGGGTAGGCGGCTGCCTGAGAGTCAGCCTCCCAGAAGCCCCTCAGACAGACAGCCTTCTTATCTGCTCATCTCCTCTCCTTCCCGTCATCCACTCCTACCCCCAACAACACTTGGGAAAACTCAGGCCACAAGAACGAGCTTTGGGAATGAGACCTCCAGTCCGTACCAGCCAATGTTGGCCGTTGATGATGGATATTCTCACTCATCCTATAGCTTGAAGAAAACCATAGCTCGTGGAAATTTTGTGAAATCTCCTTTCTCCGAGAATGACCTTGATGAGGTGGTATTTGGAGCATAGATGTAGACCTGGAAGGGTCCTCAGAAGCCATCTTGTACAATCCCTTCATTTTACAGATGAAAGAAATGAGGCCCAAAGAGGTTCAGGGACATGTCCAAGGTGATAACGGTAGTTATGTATCAAAGGCACAACCTGAACCCAGGCCCTTTGCCTTCAGAGTCAGTGATCTTTCTGTACCAAGGAAGTCCCTTCTCTTACCTTTCTCCCTACCTTTAGAGAGGGTGTAAAACATTCTCTTCTCTCCTAAAATCTTCTTAAAGCATTTTCTTCGCCCATCACATTCAACCCCGTGTCTTATTTATTTCTGTCCATGTCATAACCTTCCTCTTAGATCACAAGCTCCATGAAGGCAGGAACTATTGCTTTTAATTTTTATATACATAATGTAAAGCACAGAGTGCTTGTGTAGTCTATACTTAAAAAAAATTTGTTGATTTAAATTGCTGAACACTTGGGAACAGGTTAAAAATAAAGGTTGGAGGCAGGGAAGGAATCAAGAAACAACGGAAAGTTTAATTTTATAGAATGAGACATACATTTTTAGACATGGCCAATGTGAGAATTTGTCTCGCTTGACTGCTTATTTGTCAACAAGAGTTTTGTTTTCCATTTATTTTCAATTTTTGAATGGTGGGGAGGGGAAGTGGGAGGGAGGAAAAAAAATTCTTGTTAAAGCATTATTAAAACAAAAAGGAAAGAAAAAAGGGAAGAAAGAAGGGAAAGGAAGGAAAGGGAGGGAGAGAGGAAGGAAGGAAGGAAGGAAGGAAGGAAGGAAGGAAGGAGGAAGGAAGGAAGGAAGGAAGGAAGGAAGGAAGGAGGAAAGAAGGAAGGAAGGAAGGAAGGAAGGAAGGAAGGAAGGAAGGAAGGAAGGAAAAGGAAAGAAGGAGGGAAGGAAGGAAGGAGGGAAGGAAGGAAGGAAGAAGAAAGAAAAAGAAGAAAGAAAGAAAGAAAGAAAGAAAGAAAGAAAGAAAGAAAGAAGAAAGAAAGAGAAAGAAAGAAAGAAAGAAAGAAAGAAAGGAAGGAAGGAAGGAAGGAAGGAAGGAAGGAAGGAAGGAAGGAAGGAAGGAAGGAAGGAAGAAAGGAAGAAAGAAAGAAAGGAAGGAAGAAAGAAAGAAAGAAAGAAAGAAAGAAAGAAAGAAAGAAAGAAAGAAAGAAAGAAAGAAAGAAAGAAAGAAAGAAAGAAAGAAAGAAAGAAAGAAAGAAAGAAAGAAAGAAAGAAAGAAAGAAAGAAAGAAAGAAAATTTGGAGTAAGAGGGCATGGGTATCAATTCCCAGTTTTTCCATTTCCTACTTTTTTTTTCCAGCATTTGGGGTTAAGTGACTTGCGCAGGGTCACACAGCTAGTAAGTGTCAAGTGTTTGGTCTGAGGCCGGATCTGAACTCAGGTCCTCCTGACTTCAGGGCTGGTTCTCTATCCACTGTGCCACCTAGCTGCCCCCATTTCCTACTTTTGTGACCCTGTGCAAAGTCATTTAACCTTTCTTGGTCTCCTTTTTCTCATCTGTAAAATGAGGTTCTTAGATGACCTCCAGGGACCCTTCCAACTCAAACTCTACAATCTTAAGAACAGCCACTCTAAAGATAAAATAGCTGTGCTGAAACACATTCAAAGAATACAGACTTTGCTCCAATTTATTCGAATTCAGTGAAAAATAGGACTCAGAGCATTGCATACGGGAGGACTCCCAACTCCTTCTTATATTAGCACCAGTATATTCATGCAAATATTGATCTGTAAATTCTCCCTTTAGCGCCATTGTGCTCCAAGGACTATTTTCCTTCCCACAATGTTATTTCTCAGAATCCACCAGGACAAAAGGGTTCCCCTCACAGACTGGTCCTAGTCAGTCTCTCTGTGATAGATCTTAAAATCAGAATTCTGTCATTCAAAAGTGGTGTCATACCCTTGTTCACTAGGCCGGACTTCCTCAGAGATTGTTATGGTCTTCAATATCTTGCGGCCCCTGATAGGTGGAGGCTCTATGCTTTCTTCCACTCCCTAAAAAAAATTTTTTTTAATGTGTATATATATATATATATATGTATATACACACACACACATACATACATACATACATACATACACACATACATACATACAGAAACCTCTGAAGGGAGAGGCCCATCCTAGAAGCACCCTAAAGGCCATGAAACAGACAGAAGACAGCCACCATTGTTGGGTTTTCACAACAGAAACAGGAGCCCACCCAGTAATGTGCCTTGGCTCTTCACAGACCAGATTTTTTAGACTTCCTTTCTGTACTATGGGCCTCAGGTTCTAAAGGTTAATCAAAACTCACTCCAAGGAAAAGAAAGGACAGAAACATCTCTAGGGGAGAGTGGTAGGCACACCTTTCCTGGATGTCTCCAGAGTCAGGAAGAAGGAGATAAGTCAGTTCAGAAAAGCCTTGCCCTGGCTTTTCCTCCACAGCTATAGAATGTTAGTGCTTAGAAGCAAGGGTTGTTTCTTTTTTGTTCTTGTATGCCCAGTACGGTGCCCAGCGCATAATAAAAGCTTGATAAATGTTTGTTGTTTGATTTATGGAGGACTGTGTATAAGTTAGATGACTTCTATAATTGGCTAGTCTGTAATTTGCAGTTTAAGAATTCTAGGTTCAAAACTTGGCTGTTATTTACTAACTGTGGGACTAAGTCACCATACTGGTCTGAGCTTCAGTTCTCTCATCCATAAAATGGAGGTAACGATATCTGCCCTGTCTGCGTCATATAGTTATTGTGGAGAAAGTGCTGTGTAAACTTAAGCCACCCATGGAAATGTGAATTATTATTTAAAATCCCTGTATGTTTCCTTAAAGGAGCTGGCAATTAAAGCCTCAAGAAAAGCCAAAACAAAACAAAATTTTTAAAAAGTAAAGAAAGAATATAAGATAACAGCTATAGAAGTGAAAGGGATCTCAAAGGTTGTCTAGTTGAGCCCTCTCATTTTTACAGATGAGGAAACTGAGGCCCAGAGAGAATAAGTATGTGCTCAACAGAAAGAAAGCTAACTCTGGGTGTCACATTTTAGGAAGAACACCGATTAACTGGGTGATCAATAGACTAAAGATCATACCCCTGAAGGAGCTCTAACTCATTTTACATTAGAGGATACTGAAACCCAGGTGGAGTAACGTGCTCACATTGGCACAGCCGCACAAGTTCACATGAACATCAATTTCAAGCTGGGCAGGACCTCTGATGCCAGCTAGTCTGACCCCCTCATTCGAGAGGGGAAGGACTGAGGGCCAGGGAAGTCAGGTGACCCCCCCCCAGGTCACAACAAGGCAAGAGCTTTTGACCCTTAGCCTAGCATTCTTTTTTTCTCCACCATGGCTACCTCTTTCAAAAAGAGAAGAAGGGAAGAAAACTAGGAGAAAGTCAATCATAAGGAATATCAAACTATTTACTCCACCTTAGAAAGTAATGGTAAGTGAAAACCCTGCCCCACTTCCAGCCATGCCTTTGCCCTGAAATTTCCTCTCTGGTATCAGAACCTTGGCAGACAATCTCCCCTCTTCTACCATCTCCCAGAGGCTGCATTCAGTCATCATCAAGCAGGCTCCCTCCAGGCCAGAAGCTCGGATACTCTTTTTGTGCTTGGCACTCACCTTTTGTTTGATGGTTGCCATCACACTACACAGGTCATGAGACGGGAGGGACTGTTTCAGGAATGCATCAAACCTCGAGCTTGACATCAAGCTGTTTATCATTTTTCGACCATAAAGCCTACCATGAGAAAAGGAGAAAGATAAGAACAACCTTAATGGAGGCTGCCATCATCCCCTTCATACACATGGATTGCTCCTGGTCAATACAGGGACTCAGCAGCAATCTTGGAGATCTGGAATGTCCTTGTCCCGTTTCCCCTTTAAATACATCTCAGAAAGATCTCTCATGCATCTCTTTGTCAGCTGGGAACTGAAAAGACACTTGGATTGATGAGACTGCCTGGAGAATAAGTATATTGATGGGACAACCTCTGTGGGTTGAGACTTCCAGGAAAGACTTCCAGGTGCTTACCAAGATGTGTCAAGTTCACACATCATAGTCATAAACCAAGGTCTGGAAGTGACCATAGAAGCCATCTAGATCAACCCTCCCTACCAATGAGAAACTGAGGCCAAGTGGGGTTAATTGACTTGTTCAGGGTCACATGGATCACAAGTGTCTTAGGTGGGATTTCAACTCATATCTTCTTCACTCCAGGTGTGGTATTCCATCTTACTCTAGGACATGTTGATGAGGCTCTTGAGAAATTTCCATGTGGAACACACCAGCTCATGGTACTCTCCAGGCTGGTATGATCCACGGCCTTCGGCCTCTCATATCAAAAATACCAAAAGAATCTAAGAAAGTGTACACCTCCATGTGTGCATGCCACCCACAACACTTACTTCCATGTTTTAAAAATGAATGTCACTTCCACTCACTCTTCTCTCAGGGCACTGCCACAGAAACTTGGGACAGACATGAGAAGTGACTGTTTATCAGTGAGCAGACATTTTTACCCAGAGTTCCCAAGGGTCCATGACATTGAACTTGATGGTGCCAATACAACCACAGGTGCCTGGGAACTCGGGATAAAAATGTTTGCTAGTCTGCAAACAGACACTTCCCACTTCCTAAGTTTCCATGGCAACACAGAGAAGAGGACAAGTTGGGGTTACATACCAAAAAGATCCACATTGCTCTCTGCAAACAAACACGTGGTGGGATTCTTGATTTGCTCCCCATAAACACATTTCTAAGAAAATTCCCTTCTCACCCTAAGAGTCCAGGCTTCTAGGGTCTGCTGTAATATGAAAACACTTGTCTCCTGCTCCTGTAGCCTATGAAAAGATGTTTGGAACATCCCTGCCTATCTACCAACCCTGCTGTTCTTTTGTTTCCTCTTTGTTGTGATGAAGATCATGTTTTTTAAAGGCAATAATAGATAGACCCAATTAATGCCAAGACAGAGGCAAATACTGAAGCATAAAACTAATTTGTATTAGCTTTGCTGATTAGTGGACAGTGCTAACAAGGCCACTGAAATTCTGTGCAAATTCCCCTTATTCTACAACGCACAGATTTGACAGCCATCTCAACAACACCTGCCTTTGGTCAATGGGGAAAGGTGAGCCAGAGTAGGTGGGGCAAAAGAATCCCATCCCCACCACTGGAAAGACTACTCAAAGCTCATGCTCCCCAGCACTGAATCCCTAGTTCCCTCTTGAATAAGGACAAAGAGTAGTCTTGGAGAAGACTTGAGAAAATGGTTGATAGGTTGGTGGGTTCTGCTGAACTATTGGTTTTTTCCTTTGTTTTTTTAAATTGTAATAACAATTGTTACAAGACTTATTGGGTAGGAGAGAGGGAAATTATTTGGAAATACTTGTGATGAAAAAAATTATCAATTTTTTTTAAATATGAAGGACTTCCATCTTTCTTGCTCAGAGCTGGAACTGGGGAGCAGTAGTCACGTCAGGCAGCTGACTAGGGGGTAACAGGAGTTTTTAATATAACCAGCAGTGTAGAATAAACATCATCCTGGAAGTCAGAAGACCTGGGTTCAATCTGGGTTCATGTCCCAACTCTTCCATTTACTCCCTGTGTGACCTTGGGCAAGTCATTGCCCTCTCTGGCCCTTAGCTTTCTCATCTGTAAAATGGGGGTAGGTGTTTGACTAGGCAACCTCTAAGATCCCTTCTAGTTTTAATCTTCGAGACTAAATACAGAAATGACATCTTCCTTCTCTAAGCTCTACCTATAATAAGTATCTGTATTTACACTACCAATTGCACAGAATTGCTAGAAGGAAAACATTTTGTAAACCTTGAAGTGCTCTATTAAGGCCATCTTTTATTATTAAATGTGTATATATTTATGCCACCAAGTCCCACAACATGTTGACATTTGTTTTGTAGTAAGTCGCAGGTGTTATAGGGAAGGTGGACAGGAAGACACAAAGCTTGCCACAGGCACACCAGTGTCTTGTCAGGTCCACAGCTGCTTCCTGCCCTTCCCCTGCCCCCTCTCATGACGAGGTACATTTGTTTAACATGTTTAACAATTTTACAGGATAAATTAACCGTCCTCTTGGCTTCCCTACCCAGCCTCTGCTCGTTATGTTCATGGGGTCATAGATTAGAGACAATATCCCTATCACCCAAAAGCCCCCATTTTACAGATGGGAAGGTCCAATGATGGAACTGACTTGCTTAAAAACACAGAAATTGGAAGTGGCAGAGTCAGGATAGGAACCTCAGACCTCCTGACTCCAAATCCAGGGATCATTTTATTACATCATGCAGTCTTTCATTCTGATGGCATAGAGTCTAGGCAGAGCTAAACACAGGTTCAGTGGCTTCACCTGTACTGGGACTTTTTAAGGCCTGCTGGGCAGTTTTCAGTTTCAAAAAGTACCCAGTTACCTTGTTTCTTTATTGGAGTCCTGGGCAAGCTTTACCAGGATTCGAATCAGCGTGTCAGTACTGTCCCTCGTCCCTGACAGTAGTTTCTCAGCCCCGATCTGCTCTACGACATTGCATAGGTGCTCAGCGGTGCATTTTCGGACTAGTGGGTTTCTGTGGCTGGAAGAAAGCACAGAATGGCCAGGGGTGTCAGCTCAGGGAGGGACACCCAGACCTAAGGAAAGAGGACCAGTAAAGCCAAATCACTAGGACTCAGATTCAAAGGCATTTCATGTCAGTGACCTAAACCCTGAGAAGGTACAGGATAAGCTGTTCATGGGGCTCCAGGGAGCCTAGAGCATGGATAGAAAGAGAACTGTCCATTCCTGACCAAAGGCTGGGAGTGCTGACGCTAGCAGGCATGAAAGAAAGAGGCAGGAAGCAGGAGGCAGGAAGGCAGGAAGGAAAGCAGGAAGGAAGGCAGAAAGGAAGGCAGGAAGGAAGGCAGGAAGGAAGGCAGGAAGGAAGGCAGGAAGGAAGGAAGGAAGGAAGGAAGGAAGGAAGGAAGGAAGGAAGGAAGGAAGGAAGGAAGGAAGGAAGGAAGGAAGGAAGACAGTGTTGTCTGGCTGCCAGAACTACCAAAAAACTCAGCTCTTCCTTCATTTCCTCCAGAGCTCTAAGCCCAATACACCATTCTGCTTCTGGGTCCAAAACCCATTTATCACCTGACACCAAATGGTGCTTTCTCTCCAAAGGCTCCCCTAGAAACCTGACCTTGATTCTTCTCGGCAAAGGGAGTACCACACCAGTGCGATCAATTTCTCCCAAGGTGGAAAAACAGTGATAATTAATCTACAGACTGACATAAAGTCACCAATCTGCAGCAATCTGAAATAGGACTCCAGATTAGCACATTATTGCAAGACAGCCAATCTACGGCTAGATACAGTCAAATCTGTAGATGGATTATGAGAAGCATGCAAGCTGATACAAGACCACCCCCTGCAGGTCTTAGACAAGATCACTGATCTGCAGAATGATGCAAGATCTCAGATGTGTAGGGTTGGTGCAACCGCCTAAGAGGTGATTCTCACAAATCTATGGGATTAGATTCACAAGTGAAAATGGATTAGAAGATTTTATTTTAAATATTTAAATATTTTATATATATATGTTATATAAATATTAAAAAAAATATTTAAAAGAGGTAAACAAATCTGGCTGAAGAAATGCTAAGCAAGAAGTGGGTCCAGCTGGTAGGAAGAACAGAATCTGCCAGCTGATGTATCAGAATTTGCTTGATTTCACTCCTCACTGGCCTAGATTTCATCAGAAAGAAACATCTCCTCCTCTGGGAGAGGAAGAGGAGGGACAAACCCTCTTCAGGTTTGTCTCCCTTTGGTGCCTATTACTGCAATCCACAGGTGCCCCCAGCCAGCCTGCTTCATTAAAATAACAAGGTGCCTCCTCTCTCCTTTCTGCCCAAGGGCTTGGTGCCTGCACACATGCATTTCATCCAGAAGACCTAAACTCCCATTAGCTTTTTAATCTCTCAGCATCCCTGTCACACAGGCTAACTGTGGGGGAGAACAGGCAAGAATGGGAATGAGGGGGAAGCTTTCCCACCCAAGGAGAACCGGCTTCCCTCACAGGGAGCCACAGCATGTCAACCCTAACCCTATATGATTAGGGTGCCTTATCATCCTTCTCCATATCTCCTCTCCTTTTCTACTCTCTCTTCCCTCAAGCCCTCCTCTTCTGAAATTATCCTCTCTTTCTACCCCATCCCATCCCATCTAAACCGTTTAGTTAATACACACAAAAATGTGGTACATAAAACAGGGGATTACCTTTCCATATCCTGCTCATCCATTCCCCCCCTTTCCTTCTACTTGTCTCCTCATTCCTCTCACCCCTAAGCGCCATTCTTCCTGTGTCCTCAGCTCTCTAGATCTCATGTTTTCCCTCCTCCCACCCCCAAATGACAGCCAAATACATACTGTACACCCCCCGTTGTGAGAGCTGCCAGGGATCTGGAAGGAGTCACATTTTCCACCATGGCTCCCAGGGACCGGTCAGCAGCTGTTTGGATAAATTCGCTGGTGTCCCCCATCTTCTGGAGCAAACATCGGGCGACTTCCTCCGCTTCTGGGTCCATGTTCTTCTTCATGGTACAAAACAGGTCTCCCAGTGTGCTGATGGCCAGGCGGGACACCTTGGAACGGAGATTGGTAACCTTTGGGGGAGACAGAAAGAGGAGCCCCTCAGCAGGGATGATGGAATGGCAGGAAGAACTATAAAATTCCCAATGAGAGGTGGGAACCAACTTCCCAGACCCTTCTGGGTCTTACCCAGGAGTGCATCACTTTTCACACAATGCTGAGACCAGAAAAGCTGGATGGAGGGCAGGCGTAAAGAACTAAACTCAGGATAATGGAGTAAATAAAAAAGACAGACACTGAAGGCTGGAGGACATTCTATACATAGGGAGTAAAGTGAGACGGGCAGAATTCAAATCCAGGTCTTTTGACTCCAAGCTCAGTGCTCTTCCCAACACTCCACACTGCCTCTAAACCCAGGTCTCTGCTTAACACATTAGGTTACTTTTGAATGTAGGCTCCTTGAGGATTGGGCTGTTTTATTTTTGCCTTTTTATCCCCAGGACCTGTTGTGCGTGGCATGTAATAGGTGCTTAATAAATGCTAGTTGTTAGACTGACTGATTGAATTACACCTCAAGATTCTGATATCATCACAATAGATACTGCATATCAAAGTCTTCTGAGGAAAATGGGTTGAGAATAATGAAGGGGCCTTGGCCAGGGTCACACAGTGTATTAAGGGAAAGGAGATTGTCTGGGAAGATTATACTATAATTCAAGCATGAGATTATTCAACAATAGACTTCATCCAACAATCTCTATCAAGCACCTACTATGTGCAATGTACATAAGTTTTATCTGATGGCTGTGTGGATGAGGAGGGGGGGAAGGGCAACCAATGCAAGAAATCCGCAGAAGGAATCCATTCAACAATCATCCCAGACCATAGCAGAGATTTCATATACATTGGACAGCTACAGCCAGTGTGGGAAGAGGGTTGGGAAGGGAGAGAGAGAGAGGATGAAAAATACTGCTCATGGGCTGGTTGCCCAGTGAGCACCAGCTTGCTCACCTCCCTCATCACTGCCAAGGAAACGTCATGCAGTCTCTCTGCAAGGACCTCAGAGTGACAGATGGCCAGGCGTCTGATGCTCAACAGACCTTTCTGTTTCATCTGCCTAAGAAGCAAGCCCCAGGGATCCAGGTCACAAAGGCAGAAGGGAGAATCATTCATTCCATCATAGACCCAAGAGGACTCCCAAAGGCCTGAACAGCACCACCTAGACGGTGCCCCCCGGTGCTGTCTCACCTCCAAAGCTGCCCAGATCACACCCCACAAAGCCTGTGCATACAGCTAGCATGCATGTCACCAAATTGTAACAGTCGTGGCCTCGAAGTGGAGGTTTCTTCTTTGTATCAATCACTCATTATGATATAAAAATCAGGCTAATACTTCCTGGAGCAAAAACCCACTATGAAACAACCGGCTTTACTGCAATTGTGCTTATATCACATTCCCTGGAATACAGTGAGGGATACCGCAATGTAACTGATGGACCTGACCACGAAACTCATTGTGCAAGTCCCCTCACAGGAGCAGGCATTAAAAGAAAGCTCAACTACACCATGCAGAACTTCACGGAGACTGCAGAGACCCCAGCAGGCCCCTAGTTTATTAGCCCAGGACTAGAATAAACTATAGTTTTGAAAGGAGGGAGACAGGGAGAGTAATAGAATTTGGAAGTTAAAATATTGTTTTAACATGTAGTTGGGGAAAAATAAATTTTTTTTAAATTAAAAAAAAACTCCTAGCAAATAAGGTCAAGTTTCTGGGTAAGTCCAAGTTCATTCCCCTCCACCCTTCATTCATGGGCACAGCACAGTAATGTCCTACATTGCAATTAATCTCCAGATGGTATAGGGGCCACTCCTGAATGTTGGAGATATTCAATAGTCATTGTACAGGCCACACAGGGGCAGGGGAACATGAGAGGGTAAAGGCACACAAGAGAAGGAAGGCAGGGTTGGTCCTCACCAGTCATTGCTTTCAAGCCATTGGAAGGCATTCATCAGTACTAGCTCTGGATTTGAGACAGGCCTTGGCTCTTTGGAGTTGTCTATCCGATCTTCTTCCTCCCATTCTGGAGAGCCCACTGTGAACACTGCAGGCAAGGAATTGGCTGGAAAAAAAGAAGGAAGGGAGCATGGAAGGAAGCAAAGGAGGATGGATGGAAGGAATGAAGGAAGAAGGGAAGAAAGGAAGGAAGGAAAGAGGAAAGGAAGAAAAGAAGGGGAAAAAGGAGTGAGGAAGGAAGGAAAGGAAGAGAAGAAATGAAGAGAAAAGCAATAGATAGCAGTTATACGGAGACCATTTGGTGAGCAAGACCAGAGATGGCAAACTTGAGGCCAGAAGGTTGCTTGCTACCAAGTGTAGCCTGAACCAGATTAAAATGTAATTGGGAAATAATTAACAAAAAAAATAAAAATATGGAAAAAAACATAAATAATGTTATTTTGTGGTTTCCTAAGTCAATATGTGGCTGGCTAGGATCCATTTCTATCTGAATTTGACACCACTGGATGAGACAATAATGAAACTAAGCTTCTTCACTTCCACAAGTGTCTTCTCACGGAGCTCACAGCTCCCCAGACCTCACCCACAGCATTGCCCCAAAGACACACAATAAGGTGGCATACCTAACATGGAGCAGGGAGGGGCTTCGATGAGAGCTGTGGGCAAAGCTGTCACTACCTGCAGGACTCCTGTTGGACCGAGGGAGGGAAATCAGCCTGCTGTCTATCTGATTGGGTGCCCTCCATCCTCAGGAGCCCTAACTTAAGGAGAATGTCCATTATTACATAGAGAAATGCTGGCTTGTGATAGGCTACCTGTGGTCATGTGACAGACAAGTCATTCTATGTATTTACAATCAACTCTTCATTATCTATGGTTGAGTGATGGTTAGCAGGGACTTGTGGATGAATTGCCATCAGAGCTGATATTCGTATTCTCACTGATAGAATCCCCTTAGCAGCTAAATTTTTGAATTAGTCTATTCTGTGACTGACACAGGTTGTACTGCAGTTTCTCTTCCAGATAAGACAGAGATCACCCCAGTCCATCTGTGCTTCACTGGATAGCACAAGGATTAATTAGATGGTGTCTGTGAACCCCCTTAAATCAAAGTGTTAGCAGTAAGACAAGTGTACTAAATCCTCGGCAACCCTGCCACCTGGGGTTATAACTTACAAAATCACAGTCCATCAAAGCATCCTAGAGGTCATTTGGTCCAATCCTTTCATTTTATAGCTTAGAAATGTGGAACCCAGAAAGGAGAGGGGATCTACTTAAGGGCACTTGAGCAAAGTGCTACTTGATCCAGATTGCATCCTAGGCCTAGTGAATCCAGGTCAAACTGTGACACTTCCCAGCACCTTCTCCATCATCAAGATCCAGTAACATTGGTGCCCATGTGGAGACAGCCTGATTTGAAAGCGCAAGATGGCACATGATCTGAGAGCTCTCACAAGATTTGAGTGTTGCTTAGGTTGCAAACAATATATAAACTACATTCATTATTCACTGGAGAGTTTTAGGTGAGATAAGAATGTCTGGTAAGATTTTATTAAAGTTTCTATTAGTTAGCCTCCCTTTGGTATTCATTCATTCATATAGCCCACAGAGTCAGCAGAAGTAACCACCACTGTTACCAGCTACCACCAGCACGACCACTTACAGTTATGGAGAACAAGAACATCAGGATGGGCTACCAAGACCTACTCTACCTCCTCTAATGCATCTTCTGAAATGCACAGGACTCAAAGCATTGACTCACTTTCCCCCAACCCCTACCCCACCACCCCCCACCCTATCTCCCCCTCTTCTAGAAGAAAGACTAGCGCTAATATAGGATAAGAGTTACTTCCAATGTTGTTCCAATACAAGTAGTCTTCACTCAACAAATCAGCCATCATGTATTAAGAATCTATTACATAGCAGGCTGGGATTAAGGTTTCCAGGAGAAAGAGCTACAATCTCATATAGTTAGATGATATTGCTCTGATGGCAGAAAGTGAAGAAGAATTGAGGAGGGTGAAAGAGGAGAGTATAAAAACCGGCTTGAAGCTTAACATCAAAAAAAAACTAAGATCTTGGCAACCAGTCCCATCACTTCCTGGCAAATAGAGTGAGGAAAAATGGAAGGAGTGTCAGATTTTACATTCTTGCACTTAAAGATCACTGCAGATGGTGACTGTGGCCATGAAATTAAGAGACACTTGCTCCTTGGAAGGAAAGCTCTGGCACATCTGGACAGCATACTAAAAAGCAGACATATCACCTTGCAAACAAAGGTCTCTTTAGTCAAAGCTATGGTTTTTCCAGCAGTGATATATGACTGTGAGAGTCAGCCTATAAGGAAAGCTGAGTGACATAGAATTGATGCTTTAAATTATGGTGCTAGAGAAGACTTTTGAGAATCCCATTGGACAGCAAGGAGATCAAATCAGTCGATACTTTAATAAATTCATTCAAGCTATTCACTGAAATACTGAATACTGAAGCTGAAGTTTAAATACTTTGGTCACATTGTGCCCTCCAGAATGCCTGTTCCACAGACAACAAATGTCCCTTCATCCTTAATCTTTTCTTCTCCCAATCCTTCCATCTATTAGCTATTATTAAAATCTTGGCTCACTGGTCAAGACGGGAAAGTTGGAATATTCTTTGCCCCTCATTGCCACTTTCAGGTTCTCTCCCTTCCTCCATCACTCAGTAACCTTTCTTTCTTTGAGGTCCATGCTATTCATATCTACCACTCAATCAAGATCCTGTAACTGTCTACTGACCCCCAGGTCACTCCCCTTCCTTCTTCAATGAATTCAATATATGGCTCACAAATTTTCTCTCCTCCCCAACTCCTACCCTCATGCTAGGGCACTTCAACATGCTAAATGACTCTCCCTCAAACACCCTAACCACTGAGTTCTTCAACCTACTCACTCCCCATGACAATTCCTCCACCTCCTCTACCTCAGCCATACACAAAGATGGCCATAGCCTCAATCTTGCAATCACTCATAAATGTACTACTTCCATGTTCAAGAATTCATAAATCCCTTTATCTGACCATAATCCATTTGCTTTTCACCTCTCCCTCTGCCTTCTCTTGCCAAACCCTACTCTTCATCTGCATTGTGACATCCAGTCCTTTGGCCCCTCAGTTCTCTTCCAGGCCATCTCTCCCGCACTAGCCACTCTCTCCTTTTTCTCCCATCTTGTTCTTTGGGGAACAAATTCAACTTTAAATTCTCCTCCTCTCTTGAGTCCCTAGCTTCCTTATCATTTTACCAATTGCAACCTACTGAGCCTCAGCCTTGGATCACTCCCACCATCCACAGTTTCATTTCTACACACGCTACTGAACAAAGATGGAGAAAAATCATGCAACTGTTCCGAATGGATCCACTACAAATTTATGTCACACAACCTCAGCTGGACCCCAAACACTATTTGCACACATAGCCAACTCCTTTCGCAGTTCACCATGGTTGCTAAACCCTTCACTGTCCAACTCTTATTTTTCACTCCCTTAGTCAACCTTTGGTGAAGGGGAGCAAAGAAACCAAGAACATCTTTGTGATGGACCAAAGGGTGCCAGTATGATGGTGGGAAAATGAAGGATGGTGTCCTGATGGAGGACCTGCAGTGCCCACATTCCTGGGACAATCAGGCTGAGCCTTACCTGACGCGTGGCGGGTGAATCGGGGTCCCTGGTGGACGACGGGGATACTGGGCAGCGAGGAACGGTTGGCTCGTTTCTTTAAGATAATGCCGAGGCTGGTTCTGCATGGGCTTCCGAACTTGGCGGAAACAGACAGGGATCCACTACCGTGGAGAGGAATGAGCCCTGTGAAGAGCAGAAAAAAATATGGGGGCTCAAGTATCACTGACTAGGGCAGCCTTTGCTGGGTGACCATGACAGACCTCTTAGCACATTGCCCAGCGCCTTAGAGATGGGCCCAGCAAGAGCCCGAGCCAGATGGAGCATATGGCAGTGGCACCTAAGCATTCTCTCAGGGATGACTCAATAGCCCTGATCCTCCAAGAGACAGGAACGTCCCCTCGGCCTGGTACGTGGAGGAGGACAGTCTCACTTCTGCGTGTCTTCATTCTAAAGGTCCTCAACTTTCTCTGTTGACCCACCCATCCAAATACTCTTTTACCTTCCTTGATCATGCTCCTGGAGGTCAGACTCTGGGACAGCAAGTCTCTCTCCTGCTGCCTCTCTTCTCTCTCCCTGACCCGCTGGAATAACTCCATTTCTTTCATTTGCTTCAGACGCATCTTCTCTTGGGCTGACTTGGCAATGGTCACCGGGATCTGTACGTATACAATGCAAACTTGAATTGTACCCCAAATATCTTGCCTAGCACCCTACTGGCATCCCTTTTGCCCCTAGAACTATATCAGTTTATAAAGAAAAAAGCATCCAATCATACCAGGCCCTCCCAGGACACATTTTTTTCCTGGTCCTTCTTTCTTGGCAGCTAACAAAATGACAGTGAGGGTGTGGTTTGTTTTCCACTAATACCCTATCTGAGCTTCTCTGGGACCCAGTTAGATTTGAACTCAGAGCTTGTCTCAGGGGTATCTAGGAAGCTGGACAGAACAAGCTACAAAAGGCTTAGTTTATACCCAGTCCAAAATTATACTTCTTACCCATTCATTTTGGTTTATTAGAATGAAAGGAAAGGGGTGGGCTCAATCAGGAAAGAGAAAAAGTGCTTCCTGTCCTTTACTGTATCATCCAGAACAGAGAAATAAAGGGAAAATGAAACCCAGAAAAGAAGAGCAATGTGTTCAAGGTTAGACTGCAAGTTGGGGCAGCTTTCAGCTCAAGGCATCATCCTGTTGGCCCCTGAGCCAGCTGCTCCTCAGCACAGTGGGTGAGGCAACTGGACTTGAGGTCAGGAAGATGAGGGTTCGAATCTCCCCTCTGGCCCTCATGGGCTGCATGACCTGCACACATCACCTAACTTCCCTCAGGCTCAATTTCCTCATCTCTAAAATGGAGTTAATAATTACACCTATCACACACAGTCATTGTGAGCATCAAATAAGACTGTCTATAAGGCACTTTGCAAACTTTATAGTGCTATATAACTGTCAGCTATTATGGCTGCAGCAAGAGGTGGTATTCTTTGATAACTGGGCAGTTGCTCAAATGACCTGGTTGTAGTTTATTTAAGTCCATCTGCCCTGACTTGCCACCCTTTCTCCTCTTTGAGTTAAGTAGTTCCTTCTACCTGATATCCCCACACTTCATTTATATATCACTTTTGGAACTGTTCTTTCTCTTTCCCTTTTGTCCCTTTTTCCATCCCCTACTTCCCACTCCCGGGAGCAATTTAATTCTCGGGTGACACCCTCCTCCAGTAAGGTTCAAACCACTGAGGAACAATGGGGCAACTGCAGGTCTGCACAGGTCCACTCTCCCCTTGTTTCTACTGCCTAGACTCATAGTTACTTTGAAATGAGTGTGTGTGTGTGCACGTGCGCACACGTGCGCGTGCGCACACACACACACACACACACACACAAACACCACCACCACCACCATCACCACTGGAATGAGAGTCAGTCACTGAACCAGCTTGTTGTCCTCTGGGATGGCCACCATCTCTGTGGTCCTCACACATACCCTGGGGCTGCTTTCTGGCCGGCCCACTTCTTTCAGCAATTGTTGGCTCTTCAGCTGTTTGTCTTTGTTGGCATGGCTGAAGGAGGGTGTCATCAATGGAGATGCAGTGTGGGACGAATGGACAGCAGACTTTGTGCCACCAGCTGGCGTGGCTCGGACAGGAGGGACTGTAGGCCTTGCCTCTGAAGAGTTAAGCACATTCTTGATGGCATTAAGACAGCCAGCATATTTGCTGAAACCAACTCTCCAGGCCATGGGACTAGCCCAGCTATTATTCCTAAAGCTCTCAGAACTTGTTCCTTCCGTCAAACACTTCTGATTGACTCGCCACACTACAAATTAGTCTTCAAGAACACTAATGCCAGGCACAAGATAAAGCCATGTGAGAAGCAACGTAATCAAGGCATTTCTTAATCTATGCATCAAGTCAGGAAAAGTGGAAGGATTTACTTGCCTTGTCATGTATGATAGAAGGAAAGATAAGGAAAGGGAAGAAGAGAGAAAAGGAGAGGGAGGGAGGGAAAGAAGGAAGATAACAGACATTTAGGAAGCACCTACAATGTTTAAGTCACCGTACAACTCAGACCCTGCCCTCGAGCAGCTTCCACCCAAAGGGAGGGGAAGACAAGTACGTGGAATACCTGTAGCAGGCACTTCAGAGTCACACAACACAGAACGTTAGAGCTGAAAGTAATCACAAAGGTCATCAGGCTGATCCCCTTCATTTTACAGATAAAGAAAGTGAAGCCTCACTTAAGTGACTTAACCAACATGGCACAACTGGTTAGTGTCAGAGCAGGCATCGGCACCCATCGGCTGCTCTGCCAGCACAGATGGCTTAATTCTCCTAGACATCAGTGAGCTGTGCTTTCTGTTTTCCATCCACATGAAGAAACGAGTTCTGGGAAATGCAAAAAGGTCGTTTATAAGGAATGGCATCATCTCAATTTTCAGGGAATTTTAGACCTAAAACCAGCTCCCAAAACTTTCTCATACTCCTCTTGTCTCTCTTACTTTGCAGAGGCAGCAGAGAGAGTGAAAAAAGCACTGCATGCCAGCTCCCGCATGTGTCGGCTGTGTTCTGTGACTCTGGGCAAGTGGCTTCATGGCTCTCAGCCTCAGTTTCCTCCTCGGGCAATAAGCATCTATTAAGCTCCTACTATGAGCCAGGCACTGTGCTAAGCACTTGATAGATGGTGTTTCATTTGATCCTCACAGCAACCTTGCAAGGTAGGTGCTGTTATTATCCCTGAACTACAGTTGAGGAAAGTGAGGCAGAGTTTAAGTGAGTTGTCCAGGGTCATAATGCTAATAAGTGTATAAGACCGAATTTGAACTCAGGTTTTCTAGAGCTCTATCCACTGAACCACCCAGCTACCTCATCTATAAAATGGAAATAATAACAGCACCTATCTAGTGGGGTGGCTGTGAGGTTCAATTTGCTTTACATACATGCTATATAAATGTTAATTATTATTATCGTTGTTAACATCTCTGTGCCTCAGTTTTCTCATCTGTAAAATGGTAATAATAATGCCCGGGCCAAAATGACAGCAATGTAAACAGAAAGAATAACGACAAAACCTGAAAACTGAATTATAATGCAATTATAGTGACCAAGCTTGTCTGAGAGGAGTTGAGAAAACGCACGTCTGTTTTTCCTTTGCAGAGGTGGAGGACTACAGGTTGGAATGTCTCATATACTGTCAGCCACAGTGGCTATGGTGGTTCTTTTTGCTATACTGGTTTTTCCCCCTCTTTCTTTTTAACCTTTGTTATAAGAAATGGCTTTCTCAGTAGGAAAGGGTGGGGGGCCCTGGGTGAGAGGGAGAAGGAATACCTTGGAAAGGAGATTATCTAAAAGAAAAATATATGGATCACAATAGGATATTTAAAATATCAGTAATACTTGAGTATTATTATCATAGGGTTGTGAGGACAATTTATAAACCGTTAAACTTGACTCTGTCAGTGTGAACCGTTGAGGATGCTGAGGGGCACCACACCAGAAGGCTAGGCTCTCACACTGGGGTAGCTAGGGCCTGAGTTGAGATGGGTGGGGAGCCAGGTTGCTGCAAAGGCCAAGCACGTCAGACAAGTTTTCCCCAGGCCTAGAACTTTCTGTCCTGAAATCAGGCACTCCCTGGCCAACAGCCACACCTGCTGAGCATAATTCAGGGGCTAAAATGAGCAGGCAGTTTTCAAAGGAAGAAAGCCAAGCTAGCAACAACCATATAAAAATGCTTCAAATCAGTAATAATTAGAGAAATGCAAATTAAAGTAAATTGGAAGTTCCACACATAAGATTGGCAAAGATGCTGTCACCCAAAAAATGACAAACGTTGGAAGGGCTGAGGGAAACAAGTGCTTTAATACACTGTTGGTAGAGCTGCGAACTAGTCCAGCTATTCTGGAAAGCAATTTGGAACCATGCCCCAAAAGTTACTAAACCATGCTTACCCTCTGACCCAGCAACACCACTACTAGGCCTGTTTACTGAAGAGATGATCACAGAAAGAGGGACAGGACCATACATATAAAAATATTTATGTGATCAAAGGGGGCTAAACTCCAGGAGAATCTGTCCTGGTTAATTCCAATCAGCAAAATAACTGCTTCCCCAAGGCCCTCCCCTCCCCCAGGAACACCCTAAGTATTATTTTGACCCTGCCAAAACTCTCTCCTTGGACCTGTTCTGACTTGGGCAACTCTGGCTGTGTGCATACCAACCCCTCCTGAAACCCAGTCTCTGTAGGCTTCTGGCTCACTCACTTCCCCACCCCTCCCAACCAATTAAATAAGATCTAACATCCATCCATCTCCTCTTGCCCTTTCCAGGCAACCCAAATCAGCATTTCAAATCAGAATTCTTGCTCATGTTATAAAAGATGCTCAACCCTCCGGTTCCTCCCCCTCTCCCTACCCAAATCCTCTCACCCGACTTCCTTCCCAGGATTGGTTTCATTCTCCTGACCTCTAATCATCGAGGGGGTCATTAAGCTTTGGGGTCTTCATAGAATGTCAAAGCTGTAAGGGACCTGAAACAACGTCTAGTTCACATCCCTCATTTGACAACTGAGAAAAGTTGAGGCCCAGAGAGGTTGTGACTTGCCCAAGTTGAGACAGTAGCAGAATTGTGTTTCCCATCTCCAAAACCACCATTCTTGCCACTATATGATGCTAGCTGCCTGGTAAGGATTTAACTGGAAAGTGCAATTTTCCCCATCTCCCACTGCCACCAACTTCCTCAAAGCTTTGTAGCCAAGAGTGCAAGACAGCAAATAAACAGAGGTAGGCATACCTACCCCTAGACTTGGGGGTCCTCTTCTGGGGACTGTTCTCCTGTACCAATCTTCAAAGAAATCAGAAAGGGGAAAAAAACCTTCTTAAAGCCATATAAAGGGAGAGCAAGCCAGAAATGTCCCTTCCAGGTGGAGGGTTGGTGAAGATAGCCTCTGGGAGTTCTATAAATTAAAGAGTGCCAGACCTTCTGGGGGATCTCCAGCCTGGTGTAAGCCGCCACCAACCTTGCATTCTCTGAACCTATCCCCATGCCATGCTTAGGCCACAATATAACTGCTTTTTGTTGGGTAAAGAGATGGAGCTGTGGAATTTCCTGGCTTCACATTTGCCTTCCCATGAGCCCTTCCAAACTAGAAGCAGTGTCTGTCCACAGGACTAGTAATGACACCTCCAACTGGCTCTACCTGTGTGCAAGCATGGTACTGAAGAACACAATTGGGACCCAAAACATGGATGGCCTCTTTCTCTTGTCACCAGCTATTGTGATTCACAGCTCTAGACTCTAGTTGCAAGGTATATCCCATCCTTAATCTCTCTGAACAAAAGAGTGACATGACCAGAGCTATCTGTGCTTTAGGAATATTAATTGGGTGACCATGTATAATAAAAATTAGAGCAGGAAGTGACTAGATGAAGTAATACCAGCTAAAAAAAAGTAAGGTGAGACATAATAACAAACAAGAGAATGGAGAGGAAAAGAAAAAGGCAAGAGATATTCTGTAAACAAAATCAACAGCACTTGGTTACTAATTGGCCATGCATGGAGAAGAGAAACAAGTCCCCATTGACTCTGAGAATTTTGAGTCTGGACTGCCATCTACAGAAAATAAGAAAACCAGGAAGCTAGTCTGGAGGCAGGAAGTGCATAAAGCTAGGTTCGGTTTGGGACAACTGTAGAAGACCTATGTAGAGATGTTCATCAAGCCATCTAGAAAAGTGACACTAGACTGGGTTGGGAGTAGATTTAAAAGGTATGATTGATAGCAAAGAGGTAGATGAGATCGCTGAGTGCATGGAGCAGGTTAGAAGACAGGCCAGGAGAGACCTTTGGGAAATGCCCACATGAAGAGGGAAAGGGAAAATGCCTGTAAAGGAGACAGAAAAGTAGCAGCCAAAAAGGAAAGAGGAGGTCCTAGAAGCTGAAAGTTTAAGGAGAAAGTTTCAAGGAAAGGGTGATCAACCAATGGTGTCACATGTTGAGAAAAGGTCAAGGACAATGAGGTCTAGAAAAGACCATCTAACTTTACAAGAGGTCACTGATGACCTTCAAAAGAGCAGCTCCAACAGAGTGGTGAAGCTGGAAAGCAGATTGCAAAGGGCCAACAAGGTAACGGCAGCATGTGTAGATTGCTCCTGAAAGAAGTCTGGAGAGAGAGGCAAGATGGCAGCTCAAGGGCGGAAGCAGGGTTGAGGGACAGGGTTCTCAGGCTAAGGGAAATCTGAGTGGAGGGGACACCCTTAAAGGTTTAAAAGAAAGGGGAGAACAAGGTAGGGACAGGATGGAGGGCCCACCCAAAACATGCTTCAGGGCATACCTGGGAGTCTTGTCTATGTTCTTGCCCACCCTCTGACACTATCTGGACTGACTCCAGTCCGGAGTAGTCAGCAGCAGCCTCTCCTAGAGACACTGCTGCTTCCCTGGGAGAGTGTAAATGGTCCTTGCCCAGAGGATGTTCCACTTAAAGGAGCTAGGTTTGCCAAGGACAAAAACCACCAATTATCTCAAGCAGGATTATGATAAACTCATCCAGCTTAGGAACCCAGTCTTCCAGACCAGGAGTTCTTAACTGTTTGGTTTTTTGGGGTTTTTTGTATCTGCAGACCCCTTGGCAATCTGGTAAAGCTTATGGACCCCTTCTCAGAATGTTTTTCAATACATAAAATAAAAAATCGCAGGATTACTAAGGAAACATATTGAAATATACTTATAAAATATTTTTAAAATACAAATTTAGAGATGTTAGGTTAAGAATCCCTCCTCTAGACCATCAACAATAATCCAAAGCACCCAACTATGGAGCATTGGCCCCAGGGAACCCATGCAGACCCAACTGGAGCTGGTGGTCCCTGCTAACTCTAACGATCTCTGAATCTTCAAAATTCCAATGAAGGGCCCAGTGTGGCTTACCCTATTCCAGGGACCTCCTGGAGAGTGAAGACATCTTGGCCTGGGGGCACAGGACTAGGATTGCTAACAATAGCTGGCAATGTTACTGACTTGGTGTCTGCTAGCTGCCCGGCCTTCAAGATGGGAGGGATCAGGGTGCCTCCCAGAGACTGCTTCATCTTCTCATCCTGCAATGCAGGTACTGAAGGGATATCTGCACCTGGAAACAGCATCGGGAGAGGGAGTTAAAGTCTAGCTATTCTTCTTCCTTCGATCCTTTTAAAGATCTGCAGTTTTGATGGCATGGGACTCTCCGTGGATGCAGAGCACAACTCCTCCAGCCTTAGTGTTTAGTCATCATGAGTTGATGAAGCCAAAAAAAACCAAAACAAAACCCAAAACTCCACATATCAGTCGATGGTCAGCCTTATTTCTGGTGATGAGTCTCTTCAAGCTGAGTAAGCGAATTCTCAAACAATGGCCAGGCCTTCACTTACATTCAAGCCTCCAGCTTGGGAAGAGCTGCCAGAGCATGGCCTCAGCTCTAGTCTTTGAGAACCCAGCGTTGCCCCACATCACGATGTGGCATCAGAGGGAGGTTTAGATGGAGGAAATCCCATAGAGAAACATGAAGCTTAGGACACTAATGTCCCAAGGAACATCCCACCCTACTTTCTCCTTCCTGTGGCTTCTCCGGGTAAAGAATTATCAAAAACCCACAGTAGCCCTGGGGCCTGTGAGGCAGGATCGCCCTTTGGATAACTTCCTTTGTGGCCATCTCAGAACCATCCTACTACCTTACTTCTCCAACTCAAAAAATTCCTAAGTCAGACTCCACTTCCTTCTTTCTTCCTATTTCAAAGAATCATAGAATTTTAGACCTGAGAAAGTCAGTGACACAGTGATTTTAACCACGCTCCCATGCCCTGTGAAATTGTTTGTTCCGGAACCTGCATGACCTTGAACAAGACATAACATTAATTTGCTACTAATAATAGTAGCTGCTAATATTTATTATATAAATATTGTATTTATATATGACATGTTTAAATATATAGAACTTTAAAGTTCCCATCTTCCTCATCATCTTCCTCCTCCTTCTAATCATTCTCCTCCTCCTCCTCCTCCTCCTCATCATCATCTTAGGCAGCAGTGCTTTAGGGTTTGCAAAGCGCTTTCGATATGTTATCTCATTTGATTACCTACCTTATCCCATTTTTTATTCTCACGACACCCCTTGAGGTGGCTGCTACTATTATTGCCATTTTAGCAGTGAGAAGACTGAGGTATAAGGAGATAAAATGATTTGCCCAAGGTCTTATAGATAGTAAGTCTCTGAGGCAGGATGAAAACCTGGTCTTTCTGACCTCAATTCCAGCACTCTGATCACCTACTTCACGCTGCCCCTATTTTATTTCCTCGGGCCTCAATTTCCTCATCTGCACAATGAGGGGATTGGATCTCATGGCCTCTAAAGTCTCTGGCAGTCCCTAAATCTAAGCTCCTATGAATTACCTCAACCCCAAGGCACATTTTCCCATTTCTGAACCGTGTGCTGCACAGTCCCACAAAAGTTTAACCTAAGATGGGAATCCACTAGTCAATCAACTAGCACTTATTAAGTGCCTATATGGAAACTTTAGAAAGAATGGCCACTTCATGCCTTTCTCTGTGATGAAAATGATTATTGCATGTCTTCCTGTGCTGGAAAACACAAGTGTATTAGAGATGGTCTAGCTCAGATAAAGTTATTTTTATTCCTGACAAACATTTTTCTGTTCAAACTTTTCATCCTAACAGATGAAGAAAGCTAAGCCCAGATGCAAAGTGACTTGACCAAGGTCACACAACCAGTGGATGCCAGATAGAATTGGGAGTTGAAGCCAGGTGTCCTGACTCCCAGTCCAGCACTCTTCCCTCCAAGGAAGGCTGTCCTGTGTTTAACTTTGGATCTTCTATATTACTGCTACTATTACTTCTATGTTACTGTGATAAATGATGAATATGAAGAAAACAAATAAATATAGAAAGGCACATAAGAAATGATAGAGTGCAAACTAATTATACCTATCATCATAATAAAATCTAATAAGTACCTGGAAGAAAACTAGAAGGAGCTCCAGGAGGATACACGATGCTACTGTTGCCAAGTCATTAGAGTTCATATGTGATTATTTTTTCCCTTTTAGCAAACTATAAATCATTTGGAATTCATAGTTTTACATATGATTTTATTTTTTGTATTGTTTGATTCCACTGTGGTTATTAATTTTAAAATAAATATTTTTAAATTAAAAAAAACTTGGACTTTGTAGAAAACAGGACTACAATCTCCTTGGATTTACTTTTATAGAATATCAGGCCCAGTCCCCCCACACACATTACACCACCTTGTATTATTTCAGGGATGTGATCTATTCCTGGTCTGTGACAATAGGTTGCAGTGAAAAGAGAGCTGAATTTGAGTCAGGGGACCTGGGTTCAAATCTCAGTTCAGTCACTTACTACCTGTGAGCATTGGGTAAGTCAGTGAATCTACCTGGGTTTTCTCAGCAATAAAATGAAAGATTTGGAATAGATGACCTCTAAGGCTCCTTCCAGATCCCAATTTCATGATCCTCTAATTAGGCCACCCCCCAAAAAATGACTAAAAATACATATTCTTTATGCCCAAGATGGACCAGGTTAGTCTGTGCTAAATCTGTATTCTGGAAATTCTCCCAACTGAGGTAAGGATTGGGCAAGATCCAGCCAGCAGCCGTTAAGAAGGAATATGCAAAAAATGGGGCTGATACCCAGGTAGAGTGTACACATGCTGAGGCTGGCCATTTGAAGATCTATTCGACCAAGTGGTTAGGTAAACTGGAGGTCAGGCAAACTGGAGGTCGATCCTAAGTATTCCAAGGTAAGGACACATCAAGAGCAGGTGGGCCTGAGACAAGACACAGATGGGAAGAAAGACAAAGGCTTGATTGGAACAATCAGGCTAGGAACTGACCACAGCCAGTCTGGGACCAAGGAACTGAAGAAGGTAGCAAGGCAGGTCCAGGCCAAGATTAGATGCTACAGCCAGAATCTCTCCCCAGAAAGCTAACTGTGCCAACAATGGCTTAGCCAACAAGTACTGCCTTTTAAGAAGGACAGCTCATCCAGGCTAAAGCACCTGTGGCTACGTCCTAGTGGCAGTCCATCAGCAGCCATCCATCCACTACCTTGCGCTAGGTGCTAGGAATACAAAGACAAAAATGAAATAGTGCCTGCCCTCCAGGATCTTACAGTCTATCAGAAACAATACATCCATATATAAGTATCCCTAAGTGCCTCTAATGAGACCTGAATGGACTTGACTTCCTCAAGTCCTTGGGGTAATTGAGATCCAATTCATCTCCAAGGTCAAGACCAGGTGGGACATGTAATGGGCTATTACCCAGGGCCCTGACACCTTCTTTCTCTTTTATTTATTCAACCTAGGTCTTAGTCACCGTCAGGCCCAGCACTCTTATCAACTTCTCCATGCTGTCTTCTCTGGGCCTCAGTTTTCTCATCTGCAAAATGAGAGGATTGAATTGGATGGCCTCTAAAGTCTCTGACCATCCCTAAATCTAAGTTCCTATGAATTACTTCATCCCCAAGAGCATCCTCATTTTCTCATTGCTGAACTATGTCCGGCATGGTCCCACAAAAGTTTGACCCAAGATCAGTATCCATTAGTCAGTCAACCAGCTTTATTAAGTGCCTACATGGAAACTTAAGGAAAAATGGCACTACTTCATACCTTTCTCTACAGTAAGAATGGCAACTACATGTCTTCCTCTACCTGCCTCTGATACATTTGTATTAGAAAAGGTGTGGCTCAGAGTTATTTTTATTCCTGACAAAACATTTTTCAGATTCAATGAGGCACAAATGGTAGATGGCCCTAGCACCCAAAATGGCAAAATCTTTCTCTGTAGAATTTCAGAGTCTAAAACCCCATGGCCTTTAAACTGACCTTAAGTGCCCCCATGACCATGCTTTGAGTTTAAGGATGTCAAAAGGCAGGTAGAAGAAAGAAGGGAATCATTCTCACCTGGAATTGATAATGTATCAAATTAACCCCCTTTGTCAAAGCTTTCAGTACAGGTTACCTGGCAAGGCTCAAGTGTCCCTTCCTTGGAAAAGTCTTCCTTGATGAAACCAGCTGTGGGTTCTCTCACTCAGGAGCCAATGCATATGTACAGCCTGTGTGTATCTGAGAGCATGCTATATCTCCCCAGTGAAAGGTGAGCTTCCTGAAAGCGGGGACTATCTATCTCACTTATATATTTATATCCCTAGTATATAGCACAGTGCCTGGCCTATTGTAGGTGCCTAATAAATGCACGTTGTTTGATTAATTGATGATAGGTCACATGAAAAATGGGAAAAAAAATCATATAGACAAATAAATGGGTGAACATGTCTATTCACATACACAGAGACCAGCTTCTGTGTTAGTTAATAGAAGACATTTACTCCATGAAGAAAGGAACAGGTGTTGCAAACTTAGAACAGTAGGTTATACATTACCTCTTGTGCAGCTGGAGTTGCCCTTAGCTGGCCCTTGCTACTCCCTTGTGGACCTGAGCCATTCTCCAAGGACCCTTTGATCTCTGGGGTGGTGGGAATGCTCTGGATGGGAGGCATTGGCCTGGAAGCCACCAGTAATCTCTGAGAGGTGGCTAGGGGGATGGCACTCTTCAGGGAAGCACCCTTAGTAACTCCTCCAGCATCCAAGGAAGCTGCAGATGGGGTAAAAAGGAAATGAATGGGAGCTCCAAGGAAAGGAGAGGTCTTTGTCAAAGGTGCTTTCCTTGAGAAAAGCAGCACAGGCCTTCACAAAAGCTCCTTCAGGGCAGAGAATGGTTTTTTTCTTGGTTTTCCAGGCACCTATCACAGTGCCAGACACAGAGTAGGCACTTAATAAATGCTTATTCAATCAATCCATCAACAAGTATCTGTTAACCACCTACTACTGTCAAACACCAGGACTAGGGCTTAGAGATACAAAGACAAAGTGAGACAATCTTTGTTCTTAAAGAACTTAACAATCCAGTGAGAGGGATACATATCAACAGAGGATAATAATAACAAAAATAGCATTTATAGTGCTGTAAGGTTTGCAAAGTACTTTACATATGTCATGTCACTTGATCCCCATAACAACCCTGGGAGGTAGGTGATATTATCAGCAACCCTTTTTACAGATGAAGGAACTGAGATGGAGAGCTTAAGTGATTTGCCTCCGATCACATACCCAGGAAGGATTTGAGTTCAGGTCTTCCTGACTCCAAGTCCAGAGCTCTATCCATGCACTCCAGAGCTCCCTAGGGGTGGACTAAATATACAGTGGTTGAGGTTCGAGCACTAACAATTTGGTTTTTTTGTTTTTTATTAATTAATTTATTTATTTAATGTTAACTTTTTAAATATATATTTATTTATTTTTAGTTTTCAACATTTACTTCCACAAGATTTTGAATTCCAAAATTTCACCCATCTTTCCCCTCCCCCCCAAGATGGCATGCATTCTGAATACCCTTCCCTAGTCTGCCCTCCCTTCTATCTTTGCCCTCTCTTCTCTTATCCCCTTCCCCTTCTATTTTCCTGCAGGGTAGGATAGATTTCTGTACTTCATCTCCTATATTTCTTATTTCCCAGTTGTATGTGGAAACTTTTTTTTTAAACATGTGTTTTTAAAACTTTGGGTTCCAAATTTTCTCCCTTCCTCCCACCCCACCCACCCTCATTGAAAAGGCAAGCAAGTCAATACAGGCCATACTTGTGCAGTTATGCAAAACAATTCCATAGTAGACATGTTATGAAAAACTAACTCTATTTCCCTTAATCCTATCCTGCCCCCCCATTTATTCTATTCTTTCTTTTGACCCTGTCCCTCCTCAGAAGTACTTCCTTCTGATTACCCCTTTCCCAATCTGCCCTCCTCTCTATCATCCCCTGCTCTCTTGTCCCTTCCTCCCCTATTTTCCTGTAGGGTAAGACAGATTTCCATACCCAATTGAGTGTGTATGTTATTCCTCCTTAAGCCAAATCCTATGAGAATAAGATTCCCTCATTTCCTCTCACCTTCCCCTGTTTCCCCTCCACTGTAAGAACCTTTTCTTGTCTGTTTTGTGCAAGATAATGTACCCCATTCTACCTCTCCCTTTCTCCTTCTCCTAGTATAATCCTCTCTCACCCCTTAAGTTTATTCTCCAGATATCACCCCTTCATCTTCAACTCACCCTGTGCCATCTATCTATCTATCTATCTATCTATACATACATAACATACATACATACATATAATTTTTCCCCTCCCACTACCCTAATACTGACAAAGGTCTCATGAGTTATAAATATCATCTTTCCATGCAGGAATGTAAACAGTTCAGCTTAATAAGTCTCTTATGATTTCTCTTTCCTGTTTACCTCTTCATGTGCCACTTGAGTCTTGTATTTGAAAGTCAAATTTTCTATTCAGCTCTGGTCTTTTCATCAAGAATGCTTGAAAGTCCTCTATTTCACTGAATGACCATTTTTTCCCCTGAAGGATTATACTCAGTTTTGCTGGGTAGGTGATTCTTGGTTGTAATCCTATCTCCTTTGCCCTCTGGAATATTATATTCCATGCCCTGCGTCCTTAATGTAGAAGCTGCTAAATCTTGTGTTATCCTGATTGTGTTTCCACATACTTGAATTGTTTCTTTCTGGCTGCTTGCAATATTTTCTCCTTGACCTGGGAACTCTGGAATTTGGCTACAATATTCCTAGGAGTTTTCCTTTGGGGATCTCTTTCAGGGGGAGATGGGATTCTTTCAATTTCTATTTTGCCCTCTGGTTCTAAAATCAGGGCAGTTTTCCTTGATAATTTCTTGAAAGATGATGTCTAGGCTCTTTTTTTGATCATGGCTTTCAGATAGTCCAATAATTTTTAAATTCTCTCTCCTGGATCTATTTTCCAGGTCAGTTGTTTTTCCAATGAGATATTTCACATTGTTTTCTAATTTTTCATTCTTTTGGATTTGTTTACTGTCTTGATTTCTCATAAAGTCACTATCTTCCAATTGCTCTATTCTAATTTTTAAGGAAGTATTTTCTTCAGTAAGCTTTTGGACTTCCTTTTCCATTTGGCCAATTTTGCTTTTTAGGGCATTCTTCTCTCATTGGCTTTTTGGACCTCTTTTGCCATTTGGGTTAGGCTATTTTTTAAGGTGTTATTTTCTTCAGTATTTTTTTGGGTCTCCTTTAGCAAGCTGTTGACTTGTTTTTCATGATTTTCTTACATCACTCCATTTCTCTTCCCAGGTTTTCCCCTAATTTTTTTACTTGCTTCTCAAAATCCCTTTTGAGCTCTTCCAAGGCCTGGGACTGATTCATATTTTTCTTGGAGGCTTTGGATGTGGGAGCTTTGACTTTGTTGTCTTCTTCTGGTTGTATGTTTTGATCTTCTTTGTTACCAAAGTAAGATAATACAGTCTGACTCTTTTTGCGAGGTTTGCTCATGATCCCAACCAACTACTTGAGTTTTAAAGTCTTTATTAAGGAAAAAGTCTGTTTCCAATGTGGAGAATGTACTGTCTCAAGCTTAGGGGGTTTGTATAGCTGTAAATTTTCAGTTCTTCCAAGGTAGTATGATAAGGGTCGAGGTGTTTACTCTTTTCCTGGCCTGAGCTCTGGTCTTTGAGTAACTGACCACAAGCAGTCTTTTCTCTCTTGGAACTGTGAGGAGGGGTTCCTCTCCAGCCACTACAAGCTCCACCATGCCAGTGCTCCTCCTCACCCCAGGACCGCCACCCAGAGCTGTGACCCAGATCCAAGCACGGGCAAGGCAAGAGATCCCTGCAGTCCCCCTCTGATCAGCCACTTGATTCCCTCCTCAGTCAGTGCCTGGAAGCTCAGGACAGAGCCCCGCCCCTCCCCCGCACCTGTGCTCTGCACTCTGGAACTGGCTCTGACCTAGCTCTTCTCTCACGGAAAAAATAGACTTTTCCCACTGACCTTCTAAGTTTTCTTTGGCATTAGTGGATTGAGGAGTCTGGAAACCTCCACAGCTGCCCACGATTCAGTCCTCTGAGGCCTGCTCCAGGTTTGTGGCGGCCTGTGCGCCCACGCTGCCCTGTGCTCCGCTCCCAGCCCGGCGGGATAAGCCTTCCCGATCAACCATCCAGGTTGTCTTGGGCTGGAAATTTGCTTTACTCTGTCTTTTTGTGGGTTCTACTACTTTAGAATTTGTTTAGAGCCATTTTTTTACGGGTATTTGGAGGGGTTTTGGGGAGAGCTCAAGCAAGTCACTGCTTTCACTCTGCTGTCTCGGCTGTGCCCCCGGAGCACTGGCAATTTGGAGGACGGTCTTTTGAAGGAGATGGCCCTTAAAGGGAGCCGGGGGCAGAGAAGAGAAAGGAGGGAAGTGTAGGCAAAGGGAACAAGCCTAGATACAGGCCATCGAATGTCATGTGTTCTAAACAGCAGGTCAGCCATCGAGAATGAAGGGGGAAAGGGAAGGCGAAGGGAACAAGCATTTATTAGGTGCCTACTATGTACCAGGCACCATTCTAAATACTTTACAAATATTTCATTTGAATGAAGAGTGAGTGATGAACTGAACCCCCTGGGGAACAAGAGGTGTGGGGGTGTGGGTATGGGTGTGGGTGTGGGTGTCTCCTGTGCTTGAGCTCAATCCCACAAATGACTTAGTAGAATGTAAGCTTCTGAAGGCAGGGAGCAGTTCATTTTTGTCTTTGCACTTCCAGTACATAGCACGTGAGAGCTTGTTACATCTGCTTCTTGGTTGAACCTGAACCTGAGCCTAAGAGGCCTCTTCTGGTCAGTTTACACAGCAAGTTTCCTCCAGGGGAAACTCAGGGAAAGTCATTTGATTTTCGTTGGCCTGCCAACTGTTTGAATGTTGTTGCTTGGATTCACACAGACCACAGAACAGAGGTCTGATCTGGAACCGGAGGGATCCACCGTCAGTCAGTCAGTCTGTCTGTCAGCAAGCATTTATTAAATGCTTACTATGTGCCAGGCACCCTGCTAAGCTCTGGCAAAGACATGGTCCCTGCCCTCAGACCTCACAGTCTACTGGGGAGAACAGCAGGCCAACAGACGCACGTACAAGATATACAGACAGCACAAAAGGAACATCCCCATGGCCGGAATGATAGGCCATTTTCTGGGGGAAACAGTGGGGAAGACATAACCAGTAACGGAGAACAAACACACTCCTAGGATGATCAGCACCAAGGAGAATCCCCTGGATTTGGAGAAGCCCTTTCTTCCAGAGAACTCAAAGCCCTTTTACTTATTATCATCAGTGCAGTTTAAATAAAAGACCACTGGGTTTGGAGACGGCAGATTTGGGTTTGAATACTAGTTATGATACCCTAAGTGACCTTGGACAACTAACTTAACTTCTCTGGGCCTCTGTTTCCTCATTTGTATAATAAAAACACTGGATTCAGGGGTGGAGAACCCGAAGTCTCCAGGTCACATGTGGCCCTCTAGGTCCTCAAGGGCAGCCCTTTGACTGAATCTAAGCTTCACTGAACAAATCCTTTGGTTAAGGATTTGTGAGAGATCACTGAGTGATCTCTAATATGACCCTGTGAGCCCTGGGCTCTACCCACTTCGCTACTTCCCCAGAGTTCTAGCCAGGCCTAAGTCAGGACTGGATGCTTGAGCCCCGGCTGCTGTGATCAGTGTGACATTTATGGGGGAAACAAAAACAGAGTTCCTACACAGCCAACCCCTTGTGTCCACTGTTGCTCTTTCCAGATCCCAGGATTCCTGTGGCTGATGGGGTCTTTGTCCATCAAACAGACAAAGCTTCCACTGTTTTCAGGGCAGTCTCTTTTTTCCTCTCCTCATTGGGACTTTGACCTCAAGCTATTAGAGCTAAAATCGACTGTAGAGACCGCCTAACCCTATTCCCCCCCACCCCACCCCACCCCCACACCTATTTTACAGATAAGGTAGTCAAGGCCCAGAGAAGGGAAATAAGTTGTCCAGGCTCACCTGGCTGAGAGCCAGGCCTAAAACCTGCCTCTCTGATTCCTGGTTTTCACCCTTTCACAAGCAGAACCACTGGGCTCACCTCGGGGAGAAGCAGACAGCCCCTCAGAGAGTCTCCTCTTCTTTAGCTTGTCCTTGATTTGGGTGGTCTCTAAGGCTGCACTGTTGGCCTCCATCTCCCGGACGGTGGCGGGCAGGAGAGGGTGGGGCCCTGAAGAGACCGCCTCCACATTCTTCACATAGCCGTTCCTGGACTGCCAAGCCTTTGAGGCCTTGAGGCTGGTCAGGTCTCCATTTCTGCCCCATACAGGGCCCTGCTTCTCCATCTGGACTTTCAGCAGGGACTGGGGGGAGGCTGTGGGCAGACAAATGAGGACAACTGAGTTACCTTGGCCCAAGCCTAGCAAAGTATCGGGGCAAACAAATGATTCCACCTGCTACTGCTGTAAAACTGAAGGTGATCTAAAAACGACCTCTAAATATAGTTTTAGCATACAGACTTAAGTAAACAGAATAAAAAAAAAAAATTTAATATTATATATAGACATACATATACACATGTGTATGTGTATATGTGTACTTAGACAAATATACATGTATGTACATAGATGTGTGTACATAGATGTGTACAATAACTACAACAAGGTAAATTGTAGTTAGTAATAATAAAAAAAAAAGAAAGAAAGAAACCAAATGCTTAATAATTATAATTAGCAAGCTTTGGCCTCAGAGAGAAGACCCGAAAATGTGCCTCCTTACCTCCTTTGCAAGGGTGGTAGACTCTGGGCTTGGAACATTGCATATACTGCTAGACTTGATTAATGTGTTAATTAGTTTTGCTGAACAGCTCTTCCCCACCCTTTTAAATTTTAAATTTTAAATCTTCATTACAAAGGATAGCTTGCTAGGTAGAGAAAGGGAGAGGGTAATTGTAATAATAATAGCTACCACTTACATAGCACTTTAAGGTTTGCAATGTGTTTAACAAATATCTCATTTTGGCAGCTTTGGGAAGTAGGTGCTATTGCCCTCCCCCTTTAATATTTGAGGAAAATGAGGTACACAGAGACTTGCCCAGGGTCACACATCTAGTTAGTGTCTGAGGTCACATTTGAACTTGGACCTTCCTGATCCAGCTGCCCCATATATTCATAAGTGAAAGTGATTGAGAAACAAAAGACAGCAATAAAAATTTCAAATGTTTAAAGAAGGCAGTCACACATTCAAATATGCACTCACTTCCTCCTCCATGCCTGATCTAAACAAGCCTCAGTTCTCTAGCTAGTGCTGCTGGGGGGGCAGTGCCCAGAAGGAATATCTAGGTTGTTGGACCTAGATAATAGTGAATAATTGAAGGTTGAGTGTGTGTCTGTGCGTGTGCGTATATATGTATAAACACATAAACAAACACATTAATGAATGTACACATGCATATACTTGACCATCATTACTCACATATATGCATGCGCATGTATATAAATACCTATAGATGTGTGTAAATGTACATATGTACATATGTGTGTATGCACGCTGTTCACAAACCCTAGACAACATTTTATTTTGCTCTAATTCACCCGGGTGGAGACCATCCTACCCTCATCCTCTCCTGTCCGTTGGCCTGCATGGTCCTGCAGGCTTGAGTTGATGTTTCTATTGCGACCATGGAAGGTGCGGAACCCAGAGCTGGCACTGGATCGAGGGATGCTGCCACAATATATTGCTACAGGAATCCGGAATTTGGCTGGAAACAAAGACATGGGTTTTAACACCTATGGGGATGGTGACTAAAGAAAGAAAAATCGAGAGGGCTTGGCACCATCCCCACTTGCCAGAGGGCCAAGGTTCAGGCCCTACTCTGAAAGCCAGACCCAACTTAGCCAATGATTGAGGGAAGACTAAAAACAGCCTTGTGCCTGTAAACTATTAGGACCACACAAAGGAGACCCAGTGTCATAGGTGGATCAATTAGATGAAATTTGCCTTGATCGGTTTTTTATGTTTCTTGTACTCACTTAATTCTTGTACTTGTCTCTTCCTTACCCATAGAACTGAGCTTCTTAGGGACAGGGGCTATTTCATTTTTTTCTTTGTATACACCATAGCCCCCAGCACAGTGTCTGGCCTGTTAATAAATGCCTGTTGATTGACGCACATCTTTGATTGAGTCACCTGTACCAAAATGTCCTGACATCTGTGTCATAGCCCCTTCCCATATTCTAGGTCTCCATACTCATCCCCCAATGCCACATGGGTGCTAGAGTTAGACTGAGCTTAGAGATCATCTAATCCAATCCTCTAAGGCCCAGAGAGGCAAAGAGACTTGTCCAGGGTCACCCGGCTCCCCAGCAACACCTCCCCTGACTTATAGGGCAGTTTCCTTTCCAGGATGTAATTCAGCCTCTGCCACTCTGTGGCTGTAATGCGAGGAAGAGATACTTGGCCCCAGCTGAGGACTTACCCTCACACGCACCCTGCCCTGACTCAATTTGAGGAGGAAGAGCCCTTACAACCCCGGGAGACCCCTCCCCCTTGGGAGTTTGTTACCTGTGCTGAAGTCATCATGTGTAGCCATGTCTCAAGGAGCACAGGACTCTGCAAAGGTCTTCTGGCCAACAGGAGCTACTCGTTGGGCATCTGGCCACCAGGGCCTTGGTGGTCGCTGAGGTTTCTAACCCCCAACATCTGGTGGTCTAACCTGGAGAGAAAAAAATATATACCTTGATCACATGAAAAGAACCAAATCCCTCTTGGAACAGGGCTCTGAGCTGGCCAGCCTCACTATGCTCCATGGTGAGCAGGGGCTAGAGGACGGACTTTCTGCCAAGGGCCATGGGCCAATGTGTGAAACAAGTTCAGCTACAAAGTGCTGGACACATTCAGCCCTTTGGAGAGCTTTTCAAAGCCATGTGACTCAGAACCTGGTTTAAACCTGGAAGAATAGCTCAAGTCTAGTAGATGAATCAACCCAGCCAATTTTCAGTCCCTGGCATTGGTAAGGTCAGGCAGGGGCCTTTGCCATGGTAACGGGGCTCGCCATTTGGTACTCAAACACAGCAGTCATATCCAGCCCTCTCCTCCAGAAGCAGCCACTGTCAGCTATACTCAAAAAGCAAAAAAAAAAAAAGGTGGGGGGAAATCTCTTCAATAAACACATTAAATTCAAAAATTCAAATAAAATAGTATTTATTAAGCACCTATTATGTGCCTAGTCCTGTGCAAAATTTTGAAGTGTTGAGTATGCAAAGACAAAATGAAACAGTTCCTCACCTCAAGCTCACATTCTAGTGAGGGAAAACGAAATTAGTATAGATGAGAAAATGTGAAATATGCAAAATAAAATCATTTCAAGGGAAGGAGGGGTGATGGGGGCCCACTAGAAGAAAAAGGGAGGACTTGAAATGAGCCTTGAAGGAAGCTCAGGAATTCCAAGAAATAGAGAGGGAGAAGAGAGAGGACTCTAGCCATGCGGTGGAATGTGGGAGACCTGACTTTGAGAAGACACACATGGGGGAGATAGACGCAAATCTCATGTGCTGGGAACAGCAAGGAGGCCAGCTTGGCTAGAACATAGAGAGGGAGGAAGGGAGGAAAAGGGAACTGGCATTTGTTAAGCACCTATTTTGTGCCAGGTAAACAGCTAGGTGGCACCATAGTGCACAGAGCACCAGGCCTAGAGTCCAGGAAGACTCATCTTCCTGAGTTCTAATCTGGCCTCAGACACTTACTAGCTGTGTGACCCTGGGCAAGTCACTTAACCCTGTTTGCCTCAGTTTCCTAATCTGTTTAATGACTTGGAAAAGGAAATGGCAAATCACTCTAGTACCTTTGTCAAGAAAACCACAAGGGGCAGCTAGGTGGCGCAGTGGATAGAGCACCGGCCCTGAAGTCAGGAGGACCTGAGTTCAAATCTGGTCTCAGACCAGATACTTGACACTTACTAGCTGTGTGACCCTGGGCAAGTCACTTAACCCCAACTGCCTCGTAAAAAGTAAAAATAAGTAAAGAAAAATAAAAAAAGAAAACCCCAAATGGGGTCAAGAAGAGACAGACACAATTGAAAACGCCTAAAAACGTGTGCTGGAATCGATCTATGAGGAACATTAACTATCTCAGCATTTGCTAGGAAGACTAATCATGATGAGAAGAACGAGAGTTTAGAAATCGCTCGTGAACATTTGATCTCCTTGCTGAGCGAGAGAGCTGAGGACCAAGCAAGGGCAGTGCTGGCTCATACCATGAAGTTGGAAGGAAAATGGTTAAACATTAGGAAGAGCATAACCTCAAAAAGCAATGAGAGAGTCCAGAGCAAGAAATAAATTTAAAGAAAGCTTGGCAAGAGACTCAACTGAGCCAGGTAATTCTGTATTTATAGATAAAACTAGAAGCTCAATGAACAGACAAAAATTGGAAAAGATCTATGAAGATTTCAGTTAACAAATTCATTTCTCCATTTCAAAAGATGCCCAGCCAACCACAAGCCCAAAAGTCTCAGGATGACACATGTTATCTACCTCCAGATGGAGAGGTGATGGACTCGGAGTGTAGACTGAAGCATATTTTCTTTCTTTCTTTTTTTTGCAGGGGGAGGGGGGAGAGGAAGGCATGGCCAATGTGAAGATTGGTTTTGCTCAACTATACATATTTTTAACAGGTTTCATTTATCTTGCCTTCTTAATAGGGAAGGGAAGAGAAGAGGGAGGAAGAGAATTCAAAACTGAAAATAAAATAAAATTGAACTTTTTTAAAAAAAGGTATCCAGAGGATGCCCATCAATTGGGGAATGGCTGAGCAAGTTGTGGTATATGAATGTAATGGAATACTATTGTTCTATAAGAAATGATGAACGGGCTGACTTCAGAAAAACCTGGGAAGACTTATATGGTCTGATGCTGAGTGAAGTGAGCAGAACCCAGAGGACTTTGTATACAATAGCAGCCACGTTATGCAATGACTAAGAATGTTAAACTGAACCCTTCTCAGCATTAAGAGGATCTAAGACATTTCCAGAGGCCTCAGGGTGGAAAATGCTGTCCAAATCCAAAGAAAGAACTATGGAAGTCAAATGCTCTCACTTATTTTTACCTTAAGTTGAATTTTGTTTCATCTTTCTGATGGTTCCTCCTATTGGTTTTAATTTTTACTTACAACTTCACTAATGTGAAAATATGTTTAATGGGTATGTAAATGTAAAGCCTATGTCAGATTGTACGCCGTCTTGGGGAGAGCAGGGGGGGGAGAAAAAGGGAGAAAAAATGTTCAACTCAAAAAAAAATTTTTTTAAATAAAATAAAATTTTTTAAAAAAGGTATCCAAGAATATTAATAGCTAGTGACCTTTATACTATCTTCCCCATCTCTATAAAATTTTTGTGAGAGAAGTTTTCACAAAAATATTGGGGACGTATACAAGAAGGGAATAGGCAGGATTTTACAGTTAATAATTGAGATCAGGCCACATGTACATTTTATATTCTGTAGCAGTCACACGATTGGTTGAAAGGTTTACAGAACACAATATTCCACTACGCTTATTAGTTGTTGATGATTAAAAAAAAAACTCACTTGATTCAGCAGAACAACACATGGTTTTAAATGCTCTTCCCCAACAAACTGTCTCCCACGCACATGTCAACAAGGTATCTCCCATGCATATGTCACAAGGTATCTCCCATGCATATGTCAATCACACAGGATAGCATGAAAGATGTAAATAAGATAACTCAATCTTCTGAATATCAATTTCAAGAAAGGGATAAAATAACAAGATGCATGCTCACCCAAAGATGTTTGCCGATGTCATGGAGGATGTCCAGTACAAAGTCTAAATGGAAGAGGAATGATCTTTAAATGGTGAGGTCCTTCGGGTGCTCCCGTTGGTGGATGGCATTGTGCTGAGGCATCAAGCTTCAGACCACTGCAGAGCATCCTAAATGAGATACATAATCACTTGACCGTTTGGCCTAGGAAAACTCTGAATAAAGAGGGCTTATGGTCCACATTATGATATGCAACTGGATAGACAACCTATAGGACTGATCCATCAGTAACACATTTAATACAGGCCTCATGTAGGGACAATGAACCAGAGCCTGAATTGAACGGGAGGAGAAGAGCTGGCAATCCACCCTTTGGAAAATGTAGTCTTTTTTAGGACCCTAGCTTCTCCTTAAAACAAAAATTATTTTAACATCTATACTCGTTCAGTGAGGATACACAGTTGCAAATCATGGAATATCATCATCTCCAAGGCTGCATGGGATTGCAATCTGTACTTTTTTTCGTGAAGCACCCACACTGATGAGGCAATAGGTCTATCTGATACAGGACACTTAGCTACCTCCCAAGGTTGTTGTGAGGATAAAATGAGATTATATTTGTAAATGGCTTTGCCAACCTCAAAGCACCATACAAATGCTAGCTATTATTATTGTTTCTGTTATTATCAAACATCCCAGGCAAAGCTTGGAAATCATATTCCTTGTGTGTAACTCTCTAGAAGAAACTCAGACTGTTCTGTAATGCAGGCAATTTAGGTGCATGGAAAGGGAGTTAAGGAATCATCCTACCCTATCATGGAGAGAAAACTGCAAAGAAGATAAGAGAATCGTGACTTACAGAGAGGGAAGGGGCCATTTTACCTAATCCTCTCACTTTACAGATGAGAAAACTAAGGACCAGGCAACGGAAATGAAGTAAAGGGAGGCAGTATGGTACCAAGCAAAGGGTTCTGCATTCAAATCCCAGCTGAACTGGGATAATACTTGTGTGGCCTTGGACAAGTCACTTCTCTCTGAGTCTCAGTTTACCCATCTGTAAAATTGGGGTAATGATACTTGTACTACCTACCTCACAGAGTTACCCTTATGAAAGCACTTTGCCACTTTCAAGCATTATATAACTGCACGTAGTTAGTAGTAGTAGTGGTAGTAGCAGTAGTAGTGGTAATTAAGTATAGTGGTCACAGCAACCCCTCTGTAGCTGACTTCTGCTTTCTCCCCTCTCCCTCCAGCCCCAAGCCCGAGATCTGGAGTCAGTGGGGCTGGATTCCAGTCCTTTCTGTTTTTTGTTGTTCAGTTGTTTCAGTCACATCTGACGCTCCATGACCCTATTTGGGGTTTTCCTGGCAAAGATACTGGGGTGGTTTGCCCAGTGACAGCTCATTTGACAGGTGAGGAAACTGAGGCCAATAGCTTACTAACATCATCACCCTGGGTTGATCTTTTAACTTAATCCCTCCAGGCCTCAGTTTCTTTGTCTGTGAAATGAGGACGTTGGACTGGATGACATCTAAGGTTCCTTCTAACTCTAAAACCCCATGATCCAATGAACCACTGCCAGAGAAGCCCATGCCCATCGAAAAGGAGCCCCCATATTGGCATTTGAATGCAGTACAGCAGAGGATGCTGACAAAGGCACCTTCAAGATCATCCAGACTGACATGAGGAAATTGAGGCCCAGAGAAGGGAAATGACTTACCCACAGCCACATAGGGGGCAAAGAATAGAGCAACTCCAGCTAATCCCCAAACCAGGAGGTCACCCAAGTCTTCTGACTCCAACCCCACTGCTCTTTCAACTGCTTGGAATATGGGCCAGCCCTGTGTAGGAAACTCCAGATGAGGACACTTCCTCTACCAATGAAGATCAGGTGCGACTTTAGGACTTAAAAAGTTATGTCAGGCACAAAGGCAAAGTGCCTTGTCCAGGAGTCCTTGACTGCAAGGCTGGATCTCTGCACACTATCCCATGTTGCCTCTTCTTTCAGCTGTACAACACAACCATTCCCTGACACCTCCCTCTTACTCATGTTTGGGCCCAAGAGAAAACACCTAAGTTTTTCAGGTTCGTACCTCCCAGAGACCAGCACAGTGCCCTTTGGGGCTTAATGAATTGCATTATCAGGCATTTAATGAATGTTTGTTGAGTTGACTGGAAGCTGAGGCCCCTGCGTTGGAAAGAAAGAAACAATCATTGATTAAGCACCTACAGCACTGCCAGGCACTGTGCTACGTGTGTTGCATGTAGTATTTCCTGAGACACTAACAGCTCTATGAGTAAGGTGCTGTTATGATCATCATTTTACAGTTGAGGAAAGTGAGGCAAACAGAGGTCAAATGACTAGCCCAAGGTTACACAGCTGTTATGGGTCTGAGGAAGAATTTTAACTCAGGTTTTCCTGATTCTGAGGCAGCTAGGTGGCTCAGTGGATAGAGCTCTGGGCCTGGAATCAGGAAGACCTGAGTTCAAATGTGGCCTCAGACACTTACTAGCTGTGTGACCCTGGGCAAGTCACTTGACCCTGTTTGCCTCAGTTTCCTCATCTACCAAGTGAGTTAGAGGAGGAAACAGCAAACCATTCCAGCATCTTTGTCAAGAAAATCCCAAATGGGATCAGTCAGACACAAGTGAAATGACTAAACTTTCTGCCTCCAGAGCCAGTGATCTATCCATATGAGCCACATAGCTATCAGTGCCAGTGGCACGTATAGGACTAATAAGTCAATAAGCATTTATTAGGTACCTAGTATATACTGTGCTGGGGATACAAAGAAAGGCAAAAGACAGCCCCTGCCCTTAAGAAGCTCACAGACTAATGGGGAAGACAAGTGCAAACAACTCCACACAAACAAGTTGTAGACGGGGTAAACTGGAGATAATCAGCAGAGAGAAGAGACTAGAATGAAGGGGGGTTGGAAAGGCTGCCAGAAGCAGCTGGGATTTCAGCGGGGACCTGAAGGGAGCCAGGGAAGCCAGGAGGCAGCGATGAGGAGGGAGAGGGCACAGACAGTGAAAACGCCAGGGATAAAGAGATGGAGCATCTTGTTCCAGGAAAAGCAAGGAGGCCCGGGTCACTGACTGCAGACCATGTGAGGAAGCATGAGGTAGGAGACTGGAAAGGTAAGGGGGCCAGGTCATAAAGAGCTTTAAACCCCAAACAGAGGGTTTTGTATTTGATCCTGAAGGTCATAGAAAGCAGGGAAACTCGAGGCAAGCAGACCAGCCAGCAGGTATTGCAATAGATCAGGCCTGGGGTGATGAGGGCAGAGACTGTGAGCAGGAAGGCACCCCTCGGGCTATTTAGTCCAACTGCTTCACTATACCGATGAAGAAACTAAGTCCCCAGAGAGGGGAAGTATCACAGAGGTAGTAAAGTGTTGAAGTTAGGATTCGAACCCATGTCCTCTCACTCCCAACAAACTTGGGGAGACTAGGATTAAACGACTTCTACGTCCTGACCTAGAGGGAAGGATTCTTCCTCATTAGACTGCACAGCATGAGCTAGCACCCCTCCCGCTTATGTAAAAGAAAGCAATTGGAAGGAGGAAGAGGCTCATTACCAATTCACTTTTGCTAGGTTATAAAACTTCTCTACTGGGAAGGTTGACCCTTTAGAAGCAATGAAAAGCATTCCTGCTGACTGCTGGGCACCAGCCACTCTCTTCTCCTCCTCCCCTCCCCATCTCCCCCACCATGCGTCATTCCCACTTCCCACACGCACCCAGAGGGCAGACAGGCCTCCTAGCAACGGCTCTGGTCAAACACTCAGCCAGCCAGTCCTCTGGGCTTGGCTGCCCCAAACCCCAGCAGGGACTCTAGCCTATCTCCTTCCTCTCCCATCTTCCCTTCGGCCATCCTCCTCCCCGACTCCCTTTGCCTGACCTCACTCCACAGATTGCCAACAATCCTGGCTTTATCAGGGGAAGGAACAAACTCTTGCTTTTTCTGGCATCAGTAATAAGAGCATCTTGCCACCCACAGGCAGATGAAGGCGCCTAAACTTCAGGCTCGTGAACACACACACTGTCAGAAGAAGGAGATGCAGCATTCCATCTCACAAACACCTCTCCTCCCTCCGGGGTGCCTACAATCCCCAAAGGAAGTAACCAGGTACCTAGGGAAAAACCAAGCAGTAGCTTTCCAGAGAGGCCCAGCCTAACCAGACACAGCTGGCCTGAAGCTGCCGCAATCCCCTAAAAACAATCAAACAAAAACAGCTGGTTGAGAGAACTTGGGAAGGGAAAAATAAGGGTCTGAGAACTTCAGTAAGAACAAAGAGTCTGGGGCTTCGAGATGGTAAGAAGCCCTTCACAACCTGGTTCCAACTTACCTTTCCAGGACCATTATCCATCACTCTCCCTTCCCAAACACCTCATTGGGACAAGCAGGTCTTCTTGCAGCTCTCTACCCCAGACATCTCCATTCTACTGGGCAGGCTGTCCCCAAGGCCTAGCCTCTTAGAATCCCTTAGTTCTTCCAAAGTTCAGCCAAATTCATCTTCCTATAAGAGACTTTTCATGGTCCCTCCAATGCCTCCCCCACAGATTACCTTATATAAAGTGTCTCAAAAGCTTTAGTGCAAGTGTAAGCTATTAAAAGTGTATTTAGAGGCAGCTAGGTGGCACAATGGATAGCATGCTGGCCCTGGAGTCAGAAGGACCCAAGTTCAAATCTGGCCTTAGACACTTCCTAGCTGTGTGACCCTGGGTGAGACAACTGAACCCCGATTGCCTCTAAAAAAAACAAACCCCAAAACTGTTATTGATTTTGCACAAACCTATACTTGGACATGTTGTCCTCCCTGAGAGAACTATAATCTACTCCAAAGCAAAGACTGATTTTTTTTTTTGTATTCCAGTATCACAGTGCCTGGCACATAGTAGGTGCTTAAGAAATATTTACTGATTGATTACATTGTCTTATTTGATCTTCACAATGACCTTCTGAAGTAGAGTAGGTAGTACAAGCACATTTTACAGATGAGAAGACTGAGACCCAGAGAGGGATCTGTCCCAGGTTACAGAGATTACTGGTAGGTGATAAAACTCAGTTCTCTACCTGCTTCTAACTTTTAATAACATGGCAATTACAAGCAAAATAATAGGCGGATTTGCTTTATAAAACTGTAATCAACAAGTCATGGGTTCCTTGTAACAGGACTGCAGCATCAAAAAATTCTTTATGCTTTTTCATACCACATTTATAAAATGTTTATGAGGTTTTAAAGGTGAAAGAGCTAACATCTTAGAGCTGTGGTCATTAAGTATCCATCTTCACAGGGTCCTATGGACTTAACCCTACATTTAAAATGACAGTCTCTGTTGTTAAAGAGATTACAATCCAAAGGTGTCCAGGTCATCCAAACCCTGCCCCCAACCCTAACCTAGGGCTCTGGGACTTCAACACCACCTACCCTAACACTGTTTTTAGGCTGGGGAATGAGAGGCAGCTTAGTAGGGATTCCATAATGATCAACACCACAGAAATTAAGAGGGGTTTCATATGTCAAGGAGCGTGCAGACAAAAGCCAAGGAGCCAGACCTGTTTGTCATGAGCCAGGCACATTCCAGAGGAAGCAGGGGGCCCATGTCTGGGAACCATGCCCTGCTGAGAGCGGGTCCCCAAGATCTGGGAAGATGGAATCCAAACAGGAGGCAGTACAGGTAGGAGGCCAAAGGATCAATGAATTATAGAGCAAAAGAGGAGAAATAAAAAAGATGGGGAAAGGGATAGAAAGAAGGAATGGGTATGGCCCTCCTATCTAACTGACCAAACCAAACTCATTATCTTTCCCAAAAAAACCTCCCCCTTCCTACCTTGCCTATTACTTTAGAGGGCAACACCATCCTCCCCAGACCCCCAGGTCTGCAACCTGGGAGTCACCCTGGACTCTTCATTCTCTCTCCCCCTCTATATCCAAGCGTGGCCAAGGCCTGTTGGTTTCACCTCTGCTGATTTCATCACTTGAACATTCTCTCCTCTGACATTGCCACCTCACCCCCAGATTACTGCAGTAGCCTACCGGTGGGCCTGCCTGTCTCCAGTGTCTGCCCAATCCAGTCCATCCTCCATTCAGCCACCAAGCTGACTCTCCTAAAGCACAGGTGTCATCCCCTCCCCTTCCACCACTCATTAAACTCCAGCGGTTCCTATCATATTCTGGATGAAATACAAAACCATCTGTTTGGTGTTCAACACCATTCATAACCTGGCCCCCTCTACCTTTCCAGTCTTCTTACATCTTACTGTCCTTGAAAGCAGGGACTGTCTTTTGCCCCTTTTGGTATCCTTAGTGCTTAGCATAGTGCCTGGCGCATAGTAGGCACTTAATAAATGTTTATTGACTGACTGACCCAGCCACCCACACATCCTTCATTCCTGAAATCCATCCAAGACCCCCTCTGCCCCCTTGAATTCAGACACCATTCAAAGGATAGCTCCACATCCTTAAGAGATTCAAGTCAGTTCAATTCAAAAGACATATCAAACAGCAACTAGCGTATAGGTACTATCTCACAAAGATGAGTTAGAACACAATCTCTGCCCTCATGGTGCCTAGAAGAGGTGATAAGACATCAACACAGATAATAATTATGCATAATATCATATGATGACAGAAGTTGAGACAAATTTGGGATCAGTCAGGTTTACAAGCTTAGAGTTGTCCTCCAAGGATTTCCTTCTCCCTCAGCCCCCACATAAACCAAGTCTTGTTGATTCTACCCTCCACAGCTCTCAAATCCATTTATTTATCCATTCACTTAGCTCTAGTTCATCACCTCCTATGGAGAGGCAGCATGGGCTGGACACTAGATCTATGGGATAGAACACTAGACTTATCATCCAGATAAGACTTATCATCCACAAGCTATGTGCATGACTCTGGGCAAGTTAGTTAACCTCTCTTGCTTCAGTTTACTCATCTATAGGTCTCCCCCTGCATTCAGGGGCATCTCTAGTCATCCTGATTGATATCTGGCCACTGGAGCCAGATGGCTCCGGAGGAGAAAGTGAGGCAGATGACTTTGCACAGCCCTCCCTCACTCAAATCAAAGTCAATTGCAAGCCCCGTCATCATCTCCCTGATGTCATCATCCTCTTTGACAATGAGGGACAAACCATACACACACAACAACAATTCATCTATAAAATAAGGGGGTTGGACTC